TAATGGGGTGTAAAGTTTCTTGTAAAATGAAGCAAAAGTTTCTGCTACACCACGTGGATCCGTGTGAGTCACACCATTTTCATCACAGATCTCGGGATATACTCTTGATGTTCTAGGCTTCCTTCGTTTAGTCAATTTCCAGAACAACCGAACATCAACTTCAGCAGCTTTATCAATATCACTGTATACTTTGCGCATATAGTTCTCATGTTCTCTGTCAAGAGCATTACGAAATTGCCGCTTTGCTCGTTTGTATTCACGATAGGAAGAAAACTGCATACTGCGAGGTCTTCCCTCAGACATCCAGATTCTTCGCTTAGATCGTTCCATCGTGTGTAAGTGTTTGACATTCTTTGTCCATTCAGGCCGTGTATGGTGGTTGTAGGACGAGAATGGAATAGACGATTCGGCACAAGACAGTAGTTCTAGCGATAACTCATTTACGAATTTGTCAATGTCCTTGTCATCACTGAGTGCAATGTTAGATAAATCCTCCAGATTTTTATCAACAAGATTTCTATACTCTACAACAGATTCAGGTGTAGCCTTATGCCATGCGGGTAATTTTGATTGAGAATTTCTTAGAGAATGTCTACGTATTTCAAAATTGAAAATTGCTTTAATTGGTAAATGGTCTGAGGTAATGGAAATAGACCCTTCTTCTAAGATATGATACTTTTTTTTTACACATTTAAGAACATGTTCGTCAAACAAAATATAATCAAGAGTAGTTTTCTTTTGAATGAAAGAAAAATGTTCACCCTTAATAGTAAAGTCTTTGTTTTGAATGCATAAATTACATCTTGACACAAAATTTGACAGTAAATGACTCTTGGTGGCGTTTGTATTACATACATCAATTAAACTACCATTGAAATCACCTGCAATGATAACTTTGCCGTAGTTAGAGTAGTAACTGTACAAATTCTCAAGAATATCAAGTTCTTGTATGTAAGAGTCAATATTACTCTCAGGTGGCAAATAAACACCAAGAATATAGTAAAGACTTCCATTGTGATCATCTAGTTGAATTCCCACAATTCTATTTGTGTTGTAACAACAAATTTCCTTAACAGAGAACATGAGAGATTTCTTGTACATAATAGCAACTCCCCCTTTCCCAGTAAATACCGAGTTGCAATACAATGGTTTTTGATCATCAATTTTAACAAAACAAGCATAGTCTTTGTGAATACTATCTAGATAGTTTTTAGTACTTTCTTTTAACTAATGTTCTGTTATTACCATTATGTCACATTTTTCTTTGTCTAAAACATTTGACAGACACATGGTAGATGAAATAATACCACGTACATTCCATATCATCAGAACAACCATCAAAAATAGAAAAACAGCGCTTGATACGTACATAATATTATAACTGAGATATCTGATAAATCTTGAAAAATATTGTGTGTAACGCATATGAATCAACAGTCAGGATAGTCATTATCAACTTCATTGTCCCAGTCCTCTTGAGTGCGCTGCGCGGCACACTTTTGTTCCCATTCTCTATTGCTCAGCCATCGCCTGCATCGAACACCCTCGGGCCAGAAGCCAGGGGATTCTACAATTTCTGCAAACTCTGGAGGTACGTTTACTTTTGCGGTCATGAGAGATCGATGGAATTTTGGATTAAATAACATTAAGTGAGTTATTTTTACACCTTTGTGCTCAATAAAGTTTGCAATGCCTGCTCTTGACGATTCTTTAGCTATGCCCGATAAGTAGTACCTGGCTGACTTTCGATAGGTAACACCAACAAAAATGTCATCTTTGGGTTTAGACGGTGCTTCCGAATTCCGTTTGTCACTTAACGTAATGACGCATGATTTTCCGTTATAATCGACTAATCTGTAGTTCGCCGGTCCTCGAGATCCGCCTATTTGTTTGTCTATGTCTGTGTTATCTCGGTTATTGAGGGACAAACCCTTTGACTGAATTGCATGGGATTCAGTGGACCGTGGCAGAGAGAAACCGTTACCAACAGGACTACTGTTAGAGGCACAAGACGGGGATTTCCTAGTTGTACGAGATGTATAGGAATTCTGAATTCTACTATTTGCGTGCAAGTCCCGCATCTCATCTACCGTGATATTTTGGATTGAGGTAGTTGGTGTTTCCGAGGGGTTTGCGGTGATGATGTTGACGATGATACGCGTGATGGGTGAGGATGCGACGGAGAAGAATGAACCGTCTGTGAAAGATTACATGCACTACCTCCCTCTGCTGTACTATCACCCTCAGATTTGCGCTCGCTCACAGTGCTTGCATAGGATTTACAAGGACTTAGTGCACTAATTTGCTTCTGGAAATTTATGCTTACTTTTGAAAGTCTCTTTAGTTCATCACTTGTTTTGGCTTTGTACAACTGATAGTCCATATGATCTGTGTCTACACGCTTGAAATTGTCAGAGGTGAGCTTTTGAAAAGAGTCATATTTGGAAAACCTTGACATTGATTCTGCTTTAAGACACTCGTGTTCGGAGCGAAGCTGTTCGTTTTCTGATCGAAGCGATTGAAGGTCAGAGGTCAGGGATTCAATAGTATTATCTCTCGAGTGCACAACATTCTCTAAGTTACTGATTCTTTGTACTAGGGAATGCAATGTTGTTTTGAGTTCGACTGCCATTATTTTTGGCAAGTCAATTCCACAAGATGAACCCTTATTTTTGTCAAATATTTCATTTATACAAGATTTCTCCCCTTGTGTGAACATATATAATATGTAACAGTCTTTGGCATATTTTGCTGCACTAGAACTGCTTTTTGTAGTTTTTCTATTAAGCAGTTTTCCAGGAGGACAATCGGGGTATTTTTTTGCACGTGAGCATAATGCATCTCGATACAAACAAATAATACTTTCATCATTTGAACACATATCGAGTAGCTTGTTTATGTAAATTTCTTTTGGTAAGTTGTACAGCTGGCTATCTAGATTGTCAAATTTAGCTTGATTTGGAATAATGTTATGTTCATTGTCTGCAAAAACCTCTAAGGCTGATGCGTCTTGCGACTTTTGAAATTCTGAGTGGCTAAACATGCTAGGTTGACCCTCGTAAGGAGTACTCACGCATTGTGTTGTAAACAACGCTGCAAATTCATCATTTTCCAGTGAATTATCACAATTCAGCAAGTCTGTCAGAAAACCACCACTAGGGGCACATATTGCACCAATTTCTTGGACAGAAGTGATCTTTGAGACTGACTGTGTCAGAACTTTTTCAATAGCCGAAGTAGTCGGTCCGCCTCCATTGGCCGCCATTTTTTTAAATACATGTCTTTGTTATTGACTGGAAACGCGATGATTTTCGCTTAAACTTATTGAAAAACAATACATGTACAATACGAACTTCTTTCAATGTACTTGCGTGACATTTGTTTAATACTTGTGCAAGTAGAGTTTATTTGAAGTTTATATAAAAAAACAGTACCAAGAGATTTGAGTCCACCCTTAAAGCGGATCTCTCACACCTGAATTTTTGTGATGTTTATAAATTTTTGACAGTATTTCAATTTTTTCAATTTCTTTTTTTCATTGTTTTTACCCTTTGATATTATTTATCTTTTCAGATATTGAAGAGGATCCAACCAGCTATTCTCAAGAAAATGCTGTTTTAGTTTTTCTTTTGTCTATTTTTGAAAATTTGAATGAAAATTATGTTGATTTTATTTTTAACTTTGCTGATTATTATTTCAATACTTTATAACATTAAACTTTGAAGAGAAATTTATAGCACTGGGGTTTTAAAAATTTAGATAGGAGGTGTTTTAACAAAATTAATAGAATATTTCAAATATTTCTAAAAAAATAAATTGAAATACTTTGGAACCTTATTTTATCGGATATGGGGCCTATTATTAGAAACAAATGCATGCAACAAAAATCAGTTATACTTTATAGGTGTAGAGAGCCCCATTAAATACTTTTTTTTTTACTAAATGATAGTATTCAGCATGTGAAATGAAAAATTTATGAGGTTATAAAATCATCATTACAGTGTGATAAAATTCCATATAAAAAATCTTCTATACACATAATGAAGAATAAGCTACGACGGCGTATTAGTGCCATTTTAACAATATAGAAATTTTTTTTAGAATCGTTTGTACGATTTAGTAAATCGTTTGTACAATTTAGTAAATCGTTTGTACGATTTAGTAAATCGTTTGTACGATTTAATGTAAATCGTTTGTACGATTTAGTAAATCGTTTGTACGATTTAATAAATCGTTTGTACAATTTGTTTGTTAAATCATTTGTACAATTTATTAAATCGTTTGTACAATTTATTAAATCGTTTGTACGATTTAATAAATCGTTTGTACAATTTAGTAAATCGTTTGTACAATTTAATAAATCGTACAAACGATTTATTAAATCGTACAAACGATTTATTAAATTGTACAAACGATTTATTAAATCGTACAAACGATTTAAAAAAAAATTCTACATTGTTAAAATGGCACTAATACGACGTCGTAATAAGCAATCAAATCTTTATATGAATATTTTATTTGCTTCAGTATACATGTATACATTTAATAATTCTATAAATTCAGTCAGGGGGAGCCGACTTTTTCCCTAAGCGGGGGACACGAATTCTCTGAATTAGCTTGTTTGTTTAATGTTCAAGAACAACAGAATATTTTAATTCAGTCTTCTCTTTTTTAAGCATTATTTATATTTTAAGTATATATAAGGTAGAATCCAGAAAAGTTTGGTGGTAAATTTCTTAATATAGATGCATAAGATTTAACAAGTTCATGAGTGTTTTCTGTCTTAAGTACAAGTAAATATCTGTGTTATTTTTGAAATAGGAATAAAAAGAATTTATTTATCAAACTGGACATAGTTATAGTTATGCATAAAGGGATTCGATAGAAAACTGTTACACAAGTACCCCGGTAATTGACCTTTTTGATTAGTGATGAGCTTTTCAATTAAGCTGCCAATTACTAGATGTTTTTACAAGAATTAACACTTTGACTGGGCAAGCATGGATAGTTCTATAATTGTTATAACCCAAGCTGACCCGACTTTAGTATACCAGTGTTTTATTACTAATTAATACACATCTTTTTATGTACCGGTACACAGAAAATCAAAGTGATTTTTAGAATACAATAAAGGAATATTTGATATTTAAAAAAAAACATGTTTATTAAAAAATATATTTATAGGGAAAACAAAATGTTGCATTTCACACAATTGTTAATTGATTGATTTCAAAAAAAAAAAAATAATAAAAAAATAAAACTTTAAAATTATCCTGAAGTAATTTTCTTCCAGTTTAATTATATATCAAGTCAAAATATCAAAATATCAAAATATAGAATAAGTATTTTGAAATTGCTACTGAATGAAGCTAGAAACTGATTATAAGCATTTCTGGAAGCATTAGAAGAAGACATCTAACTAAAATAGCTTATAGTTTTATAATAACTTTTGCTCACTGACTATCATCAAAAATCATTATTTAATGCACTTTGTTTTAATAATTGTAATCATAAAGTAATCAAAAACTAATCATGATTACAGGACTTTTTTCAGAGTAATTGATTATATTACGATTACTTGTAATCAGAAAAATGGGTGATTACTGATTACTCACGATTACTTGGCAAATTGTAATCGATTACAGCTGATTACGATTACTGATTACGATTACCCCATCCCTGTCAATGATGCCATTAAAATTGTGAATGCCATAGCATCTGGCTTAAAACATGAATCAAATTCAATCACCGGAAAGTTGTTGCATAATGCTCATGTGACCTATCAGGCCCATGGGCCTCTTGTTATTGAAGAAGCAGCTGTCAATGATATCAAAAAGTCTGGACTTTAATTTATCGTGCGGAATGGTTGTGTATAAAGTTTAAAGTCGTCAGTTTTTAAGCTGTTGATTTAGGTAAAATCTTGTGATTTCAAATTGTCCAAATGTTCTTTGGAATTTTTGAGCATCCACATCTGATTCACACCACTTCTTGAATATATTGTTGCAAAGTATTCTTGAAGTTTTTCCTTCACTACTTCAATATCTTAATGAGAAGTAACGAGAGAGGTTTGGTTAAACATTTATTGGAAACTGCAATGTATCTTTGTAAGGATTTTTATGAAGTTTCGGAATCCAATATATATAGGGCAGTTCAAATTCATTTTGGTTCTGTGGAACATTGAAAATATTAAAACTGACATATGATTTTGAAGAATTTCTTCTTTAGAAGGGGAATTATGAGTATAAGTAGGTTTATATTTCTTTATTAGTAATTTCCTGTGGTCACCCTGGTATTCTGATAAATGGTTACCTTAATGGAAGAGACTTTTCCCAGGGTAAATTTGTGACGTTCAGCTGTAAGTCTGGTTATAAACTTGTCGGCAATCAACAGAGGACGTGTCAAAGCAATAAAGTTTGGTCTGGAAGTCTCCCATCATGCATCTGTGAGTGTACTTATCTTAATTGGAAGAAAGCAAATAAAGACAATTCTCTTGTATAGATTTTTTAAAAATTAATCAGAAGTTTAAGTACGTTATTTTGTGAAAGGAGTAGTATTTAAATAAATGATACATCAACAATATATTATTAAAAATAACATAAGTCTCTCATAATTCTAACTTTTCACTTTTGCTTACAAAAATCGAAGAACTAACAATCTACAATGGAGCTAAACTACACGAGGCTATAACGATCAGAAACAATAATTATACCTTTTTTTAGAAAATGTAAAATTTTAACATATCATAAAAGATAAAGATCAAAACATATAAACCTTCATCTTTTCAGTTGTGAACACGTGCAATAGTAATCCCTGTCAAAATGGCGGAAGTTGTATAGATGGCGAGAATCAATACACCTGTAACTGTATCCATGGATACACAGGCGTACACTGTGAAAAAGGTTTGTATGATATCGACAACAGTACTTGGAGATTAGAAATTTTTGGATGATGGTAGATTAAAATCTTTACACCACGCTTTTTGTGTATATTTAATCAAATTTTCGAGGATTCATGATGGAATAATGATGAATTTTCAAAAGAATGCATATCAATACATGGATTATATAATTCGTTACTGCTTTTAATATCACCATAATTTTTTAGATATTCAGCCACCTATTGTAAAGAACTGTTCGTCAAATATACGAAGTACATCATCTTCACGATTCGTCAACATCACGTGGCCAGCTCCTACCCTATACGATCCATTTAGTCATAAAGTTGTTGTGTCCACTAACTACCCGCATCATGGGTCTATCTTTTCTTGGGGAGACTATACTGCTCGATATACAGCTCTAAAACCTTTCAACGGTCTTAGGTCCAACTGCACATTTAATATTACAGTTAGACGTGAGTTGATAAATTTTCCATATACATTGTATTTTATATATTTGTATAATTATTATAACCTTCTTAGCTAATACCGGTATAACCTTAATCATTGATTCGTATTTTGGCTGACTTGTTTCATGCTAATTGTTAAGCCTTTGTTTTAACAATGGATTTGACTAAATAAGTTAAGTCCACCTAAGTATGATTATGTTGCCCATGTGGCCAAGTAGTTAGAGCGTCTGCTTTAGAGTCGTGAAGTAAGGAGTCGATCCATATGTTGCGCGTTCGAATCCAACTGTGGGACGTGGATTGATTGATTGTTTATTGTTTAACGTCCCTCTCGAGAATTTTTCACTCATATGGACACGCCACCATGTGCCGGTGGAGAGCTGCAATTTTTTCCCCATACTCGGCAATCAGGACCATTGAGCAGAGAGGAATCTTTTTCGTGCCAGCACCTACTGCGACACGGTGCCTCGGTTTATATGGTCTCATCCGAAGGACCGGTCTTCATGTCCCACAGTGGGATTCGAACCCGCGACGCAAGGATTGACTCCTTACTTTGCGCAGACACTCTAACCAGGAGATGACCCTAGATGGTGTTTCTTTTGAACTTGTGTAGCGATCTATGTGAGCGGATCAATTGTTTGTGGAATGTTTTTAGATCGATCATTGTTCGTTTTCTTGAACTTATATTTACTAGAAAACGTGGCTCAAGGAAGCAAAATTAGGGGTCCTACTGACATAATATTCCAAATTCATTGAATACAAGGAATTACTTCCGAAAATTACAAGGTGAACAAAAAGGTGAAAAAGTGTCTAATATTTTGTTTCCAACACTTATCACAGCCATTCCTTGTCCAAATATTTCTGCTCCTTTGAACGGTGCTCTGGTTTGTAATGGATGGAAGAAAGAATTTGTTCGTCTATGTGTCGTGTTCTGTCAATTAGGAACCCGACCTAGCCAAGGCCATGACCTACGGATAAAGCATTTCTGTGGTGGAAGTGGACATTGGATGCCTCAAAAACTACCTTCCTGTAAAGGTTAGCGACTTCATTCTAAACTTTTGTGCTTTGGTAAAATTTGTCTCATGTTAGATATATTGAATTTTCGTCGTCAGCTTTTTTCCTTTTTATACAGAATGGTTGCCAGGAAGATACATCTGTCTAGAATAAATTGCAGATGTCGAACCAAACCACAAATAGTTATATTTTTATTTGTTAAATAAAGACACACATTCATACCCGGAGCACTAAAATGAAAATCCTTGACGCTTCCCGACGTCAAAAGCTTACTTCATGTAACTTTTCTCAACACAGTCAACTCAATACATTTCTTATGTTGTTTTAAGCAGTCATTAAAAATGTGTACAAACTGTTTAGGTTTCATACGTAGAAAAATATTTAATACGTCCTGTCTCAGACCCTGCAAGTCATCCAACCTTCGTCCGCGTAAAAACCGCGTAAAAACGACTTTATTAAAGGAAATACGGTAAAGTCACGTTACCAAATTCATTTTTCACAGCACTGCAATCTCGGAATGATGGTCCTCCTTCACGCATATCATCCTGTAAATTGTTCTTTACGTCCGAAAATTGAATATTCCACTTAAATACTTAAGAAGGACCTCTTTTACTATATTTTCCCGACTGTTAACAACATTTATTGGTCTCTGTTGGTGTTTTTCCTGATGTCTGAAGTACGCAGAATTTTACCACTGTTCTCTGCTCCACCTTTTCCGAAAACGTCCGTTTTTCGAACAATGCCGATCCTGTCTTAATATATTCTAACCCCGATTTCTCAACCATTTCTAACCTCTTAACAGTCTAAGTTTGCTAGTTTGAAGTTCTAACTTTTCTCAACCTCATATTGTAAAAACAATCCGAATTTCCGCGGAATTTTACAAAATACAAATGAAATTAATAAAAATAATAAAGGACTTTTTAATTTTGCGGTGCTCCGGGTCACCATCCAAAGTCTAATTTGTAATAATATTTTTAAAATTGAATTTTTGCAGTTTTAAATTTTAATTTTACATTTTATAATCACATTTAGTAGAGGATTAGAAATATGTTAATAATAAGTATCAAAGACACCAATTTTATTTGAATTTTAGCCTGTCCAACAGCCTTCGTATAACCCCTCCGTATAATAAGAAATAAATCCCTGAAATATTATTTACTTTAGACTTTAAGCATATGCGCTCATTAAATACATTGTTATCCTCATTGGATAAACGATCCACCAAGACAGAGGAGTCGGGTTGTGTTGGTGACCACGCATGGACAGAACGGTGACGGACGTGCATTTGAAATGAAGGGGCTACTTTGAAAAGAAATTGAAATAAGGAAAAGGAAAACAACTCGAAATTTTTTTTAATTGAAGAAATCCTGCTAGTTCTCGATTACGTCAGTTCTGGCTGCAATGATGTAGCCTTCTCCTTTTGGGGAGGGTGGAGGTCTACATCCCCTTAAGGATCTCCGTAATGATGCAACTCCGGGAGTGAATCAGTCGGCTCAAATTATCAGTAAATGGCTAATTTACTAACAATTCTGACCTGAACTCCAAAAATGTACCTATGCAAGACATAAATTAATCCAAAATATTCATAGTTCGATCCATATATCGGTTATTTTTCCTGTATTTCAACACCACGAATTGAATTTACCCACCATGTTTACTGACCTGGATAGATTTTATTTTGGGATAGCCAATGACAATTTAGGATTTTTAGGAGCGGATCTTTTGGGAATTCCCTTATTTTAAGCAATTTCCAAAATTTTAAGCATAAATATATCTGTTTCCGTAAAAATAACGGAATAAAATAAAAATAAATTTATCGATATTTTCTTGATACCATTCAGCACAATTATTTATAAATACAAACATTTGCTTTATTTAGTTATTCTATGTGAAACGAATGTGAGTAGAGAGACTGGTAAACAAGCGGATTTATTTAACATGGTTTTTCGCATTTTACGGGGTATGTTGTTGACAGCGAATAAAAATTTCGTCTTATTAGACGTACGTTGAATGTAAAAATAATTTAATTTGCCTGCAGTCACCTGTATTTTAAAGATATATTTGCGTCCTGTGGAATTGTAGCCATCTCCAGAAAAAAACATTAGATAAAAAAAAAAATCGGAAAGGGCTACATTGTTGAAGATACACAGTTCTGTTACAGTTATTTTGTGGGTCATGCTGCCTCATTATTATTTCGGACATATAGAACAAAGGTGATTGAAAACAGATCATTCAGAAAATGAGGAATAAAAGACTGAAATAAGAACTCACTGATATCATTGTCATGTCATGTTTTGGTAGCTTGAGTCCTATCAATTAATCTTAATATCTTTGATTAAAAGGTGTCAGAAATGTTATCTATGATATCGTATCTGCAATAGCTGGTGTTAATAATATATATTTTCCTCTCTAATCTCAACAAAAAATATCATTTTCCTTAATTTAATTTTTTTAATATAGAATCAAGTCATCAACCATCTGGAAGGGAAACATTTCATTACTTCAAATCTTGTGAGGAAAACCACATTAATCGAATGAAGAAAGGATACATTGACATTCTCCGGAATTCGACGCTTAGGAGTATTTGCTTCAGGTTTAAGAATCTCTGTAAAGCGGAGAATGTTGATGTTGAGTGTAAAGACTAAGAGGAAGATGCTTCTAGTTAGAATGTCATTTTCTAATGATTTATAATCTTTACACTTTTCCTAGGAAAAAATAGAAACACCATACATGTTATTTTCTTTTTATTAATTTAAAAAAAAAAAATGAAATTATTCGCTTTTGTACTACACAGGTGTTATAAAATTCTTTTGAGAAAAACGTTTTAAGTGTAAAGGTTGTATATTATGAAATATAATAAAACTGATGTCACAAAACCTGAAAACCTGAATACAGTTTCTTGTACATATTTTGTTGCTGTTTTACTGTGTTGCAATCCTGACTTTAAATAAATATTGTCTTACTTACCTTATCTAAAAATTTGTATGTTTTTGATTGATTCATTTTATATTGTTTAACTCTTCATTCGAGAACTTTTTACTCATATAAATTAGAGACATCACCATATACCGGAGAAGAGCTTCATTTTTTTTAACTCAACTCGGCACTCAGTGCAGTTGAGCATAGGTGGAATTTTATCGTACATTTGATTTATATATTATTGAAGTATTCATCACAGTTTTACTTTGCTAATTTTTCTTCACTATTACTATAACATCTAAAATGCGTTTGTGATTTCAAAGGAAAATGGCCATCTTTTCAAAATTTTATTCACGTTTTAATTGATGCAAATGCAGGCCACTCGCAAAATATTGATGTATCATTTATCAATTTTGACGTTTCAATAATTGTGACGTTTCATCATAAATTTTACAAATAAAATGCTCGTTGTTTGCAGATTAATTAGTGTTAAAGGAGTGTTGTTACTGGCATGAGTCAATTAAGGAATATTTTCAAGTTTTGTGTGAGTTATTGGTATGTCAATCAAATATGCTTGCCACATGATTGTCCCGTAGGAATATTTCATGATGCGCCTTAGCGCATCATGAAAAATATGCCTATGTGCAAGTTTGTGTGATTTACACATCAATAACGAATTCACGCTTAACTTTAAAAAAATCCGTATATTTACATTTTACATGTTTGGGAGCACCAAAAAATATACTCGATATTTAAAATGCTGGCTGCCCTATATCGTTATACTTTTACTAATTGCCTAATAATAATTTCCTTTCTGGAGCCCCTCAGAACTACTTTACATGTACATATATTTTGTGTAATACAAAGAAAATAATGTCAGTAAAATGTCCCTTCTACATGTAAGGTAGGAGCAATAAATTCTATTTTACCCTAACTTTGGACTTTCAGTAGGTCGTGACTTTCTCGGTGCTATGCAATGGAGAATACTAGTAGACTTTCTCATTGGTTACGAAATTAATAACATAGGAACTTAAAATTGTTCATGATAACGATCAGACGACTTATGACCCACCTCTGTGTCGTGAGAGAACTTTTAATTGGCTATTTACTACACCAGTTGACATTCGGCTGCATTTCTATCACATGTATATTTCAGCAGTGAAGGGAAGCTGTGTAAATTTCAGATGCTAATTAGGTAACGTCGAGAATGTCACGACTTACTGAAAGTCCAAACTAAGCGTGCAATTCTTCTAACTTCAACAAACAATCTGTGATAAAACGGACACACACAATCCACGGCGTAGTAATACCGGACAATAATGTACACACATAAGTATTACGCTAAACAGTCCAGTTCCAAAACATTTCATCAAATGAAACTGAATTAAATGACAAAACAGCAATAAAATAACATTTAAGTATCAATTATAAATATGGACACGGACAGTGTTATTTTGATCTTATCAATTGTAAAACGACAATGTCTATGTCACACGACTATTTTCTTCGTAAGAAAGATGACAGGCGCCCATTTTTTAACACATGTGATAATGCTGGAAAAAGTTAGTAAATTACAGTCGTAATATGGTAGATAATGATGAAAAACTGACATTTAACATCTTAGTATCACTGTCCCTTACTGTCTCTTCAACAATATTTCCCTAGATCGTTTAGTAATACAAAGAACAACATTTGTTTACATAACAATGTCGAAGTGTAATGTGTATTGCATCAATAATAAAGTAAACAATAAAATAACATGAACAATAAAACATTTCTAATAAATTTACAATTGGATTCTACTTCACATCACTAAAAAACACTCCAAGAGCCTGTGAGTAATTATGCAATATTCTGAAGTCCACCCCCATACATATTATAATAATTAGTTATTGACAACCAACTTGACTTACTTATGCAGCAGTATACCTTCATAACCTGCATACGGAATGAATGTATCTCAGCTGATTTGCAAAAGCATGCTCTACGTATGAACAATTTCTAAAACGAGGTTAATTGTTGACAAACCAAGTTGATGAAGCAAGAATATCAGTGATTTTGTTTAAAGTATTCATTTAGTTAGCTCTATGGTCGATACAATGACCTTGTCAGCAAATACATATATCGATGAGTCAATTGTTGAATGAGGTTTTTCATACAAATTGTAAGTCAATTATATAGACACTGAATTGACGATGGATTTTGTACGTCATATATCCATTATGACAAGGATCACATGGCGGGTGTGAACGGTCGGCAGTGCATGCTCATTTCTCCATGGCATCTGATCCCACCTCCGATTGTTTTAAGGTCCGTGTTTGTTCGGCTCCTTTTTTATTGTTTTATGGAATTTTGATCTTGAATACTATTCGTTATCTCTATATGTTTCATTACGAGACGATTGTTTTATATTAATTTTGCCCATGGATTTCTGCTCAATACTAGTACATAGAACTCATAATACGTGAGACCGGTCATAAGGGCATGGTAAATTCTCATATGCACTTGATTCCATATCTTAAATATATGGGGATATGTAGAATAAAGTGCAATGAAGGAGTAAGCTGACCGGTCAAACAGGCCGTTTGCTCCTTTTCATGATCTTAAAAAGGTAAAATTCGTAGGAAATTCACTATTTGAATAATGTTTGATTTATCAAATTGTTTGTAAATAGCTTGCCTCTTTTTAAAAAAAATATTGGTGCAGATAGAATTTTCTTTCTTATCAATTAACTGGAAGACAAAAACCCCATACACAGGTGATGAAGTAGCTGCAGATCTGTAGCGTTATGGTTTTATATATATATTTGTCTTTGACCATAACGCTACAGATCCCGTAATGCAAAAAAAGGTCCATTTCACGGCGCAATCTATTTTGGGAGAATTTCTCCACTTTCCAGCATTGGTCAATTAACAACCTTCCATTCCCTAATCCAAGGCACATTTTTTAACTAATCTGTATATTTTATCCATCTCCCAACCCTTTAAAGTCGTCTCTACAAGTGATAAACTCGCTTGATTAAAATTATTTGTTAAATTGCTGATAATTCACTTCAAGCGAGTTTATTGCTTGAAGAGACAAAAATAAATGGTTGGGAGGTGGATAAAGTATACATATTGGCTACATAATCTGTCTAGAATTAGGGAGTGAAAAGCAGTTGATTGACAAAAGCTAGAAAGTGGAGAAATTCTAACCAAAAGCGTGCAAAAAATATTGCGCCGTAAATTGCACCTTTTCTGCATTACGGGATCTGTAGCGTTATGGTCAAAGACAAATATATAAAACCATGACGCTACAGATCTGCAGCTAGTGATGAAGGTGATAAGGGTATATTTCTGTTCAAGTAAGGAATGTTTTTTAAAATAGATCTTGAGATGTATTTTTGTGTTAGACAGGTCAATTTACTTTTTCTCGGTGTTTCAAAATGAACCTGCTCCAGAATATCTCTCAACTTCCACCGAGGTAATGCTGATTGATTATAACAATTAAATTCACACCTGCAGCACATCTTCCATAATGATTGTAATCTGTACAAACTCTTACTAATTACGAAGTGACCGCAAATATGATTGGAGCACCGAATGCTTTCAAAACATGATTTTTAATGTTTCCACTGATTAAAATAACGTAAGTAATATTTGTTTAAATTTGTTTTTGACCTCGACAGAGAAATCTTGGCTAATGTTTTCCCAAGCCTGAAGATTTGAAAAAAAGAAGAAAACGCTGAAATTAAAAGATAACATCTGTTCATTGAAATTGAGTAAGTATTGAATTGTTTCATAACGTAAAATTCCGTAGGGAAAATAATTTCCATTTTTTATTGATCTCTCCTAAGGAACTTTAAATTTACAACAGGATAAATATATTTCTTGTGTTTATCCTCAGTATAATTGATTTAAATAGAAATTTAATAGGAAACAAGAATATTAAAAAATTATTAGTATTATATTAACACACTACGACAACTGTTGATAATCGATTGCTCTCCATACACCCTCTGAGGTCTGAGAAAAAAATAGAACAGACAAAAAATATGCCGTTGGAAATTTACTGATTAACTATATAAAAAAGATACCAAAAACTAAGCCGTCTGCAAGGTTTAAACCACAAATTAAAGATATCAAAAAGATATTTATTGTGAAGAATCCAACTCGAGAGTCTTGTTTACCTTTAATGCTGATAAAGTGGGGGATGATGGCAGCTTCACATGATATTTTGTTAAAGTGTTGAAGTATTTCTTCATGAGTGCAAATATTATATCAATATGAGGAAAGAACTTCACATGTCATGTGTAAAAATGGTTCACCCTTCTTATTAAGGTAAAGTATTCTTAAAAATCTCTTCAAATCATATTTAACAAAAGGTTCATCTCTCCTCTCACATAATCAGAGGAATTAATGAATTGTAAGTTAGAAAAAAAGTTGCTATAAATGAAAATGCAAATTGTTTGAGTTTTGTTTAATTTAACTTGAAAAAAAACAGGAATGCTGTATATTTTGTAGTGAACATTTAAATGTAAAATATAGAAATAACGAACAGTATTCAAACTTAAAAGTCCATGAAATAATACAAATCAGGCGCAGAGCAAACAGGGACCTCTTAGACATCAGAGGTGGGGTCAGTTGCCATGGAGGAGGGAGCATACCCTGCTGACAGGTAACATGGTTTCTTCTCATAATCACGGAATAGCTCGATAATCCGTCGATAATTCAGTGTGTAAATAATAGCCAAACAGTTTGTTTGAAAATCTTCAGTCAGCATTTGAGTTAATAATTGATTAGTGTTTGATAACAAGGTCATCATGTCGGCCATAGAACTTACGAATTGAAAACTTGTAACGAAATTGCTGATATTCTTATTTTATCAAATTATTTATCATTAACTTTTGTGCATTACCAATGACAAGGTAAGTAAATTTACGAGTTCCATTGTAATTGTAAAAGCAGCTTTCAATGATGTAAAAAATCCCGAACTTTAATTTATCGTGGAGAATGGTTGTATATTAAATTGAAAAGTCGTAACATTTTTTGTAAAAATAACGAAGCGTGATTGATCTAAAAAATATAAACAATACGGACATATAACGAGAGCATTAAACTTTAACTGATGGAAATTCCAGAGGTGGGATCAGGTGCCTAGCAGGAGTAAGCATCCCCTATGGACCGATCACACCTGCCGTGCAACCTATGTTCTTTTTAGATCAATCACTGCAAAACAGTTATCTACCATTTTTACAAAAAGTTTTGTAAAAAGGAACAGATCAATCCTTATATATTATGTAATGTGTGCATTTAGAATATGAATTTTTCAAGTACAATATTACCTCGTAAAAAATTACTAAATTACTTTGAAAATTCGTCTTACCGAGAATAATTTCATTAATTTCAGTGATATATCAGAATTTAAAAGATTAGTATCCCAAAACAACTGACTGTGTTCGGAGAAATTATCGTAGCATATATTTTAATGGTATTCAGGAGAATATTTATTCGAGAATGCGCTCTGCAATGATCTTCACGACACTCTTATTGTTTATTTTAATTAGGAAAGTGATATCTGGTAAGTATGTATGATTATATGAATAAATTATGAGAAATGATTTCCTTTATCGGTTGATGATTCTAAATCTCCAAAATATGCCATAATTCAGTCGTATATTTCAATCATAATCAATATTACATGTACACAAATGGAAATCATTATAGTGCATTTTTTTCATATTTAATGAAAAGTTTTTTATTTCCTGTTTGAAATTCCATATCTAAATTAATTTTACGTACATGTACAGGGTGTTCCAAAACATAGGTTACATTTTTAAACCGTTATAAAAATTTTATGACTCAAGTTACATTAATGAAATTTAAAATATTCAACAAAATTGTTATAATTTTTTTGTCAAGCATACATTTGTCACAGTTTCCTTATTTAATCAATGACATTTTTTCTTTAGAATTACATATGTCATTTTACAACATTTTTTCAAATGACGTCCCTTTGAATAAACATTGTTTGAATACGATCTCTGAAGTTGTTTTTTTTTTTTTTTTTTTTTTTTTTTTTTTTTACCAAACTTTAAATATAACAGTTGAGAGGTTTTCCACATTAAAATTGGGTTTTACCAAACAACAGAATTTAAGATTCACTTCAACAAAAATGTTTAAATGAAAGTGGACTTCATCGGAAAACCATGCGTCTGTTAAATTTTCAGAGTCGGGTCTAATTCAATCCAATGACTGTAAACTCTAAACAACTTCTAATTTCTGTCTCTTTTAAATGCTGCATTACACTTATCTTGTAAGGAATCAATTTTAAATCAAATTTGAGTATTTTGTGAATACTGAATTTACCAAAGATGCTATCTTGTTCATGCAGGGCCCGACTAAGGGTTTTTTGTAAAGTTTCAGTAATAACTCTATCAACGGTGCTAATGTTCTTTTTGGTACGGGCACTCCTTCGTTTTCTAGTACCCAAATTAAGTTAAATGTCGTTTAAGGTGCTTTTACCTTCAAACTCCCTCACAAAACTGTTATTTAATTAGCATTCTGTTGAGCAATTTTATTACAGGATGTTTTTTCTCCTGGTTTTAATGACTAAAGTAGCAGATTTAGACCTAACATAAAGTTTTCCAATGTCTACAAGCTGTTCACATGAGGGTTCCATATTTAAAAAAGATATGACGTCATTAGGACATTATAATTGCCCGACTTCCTAACAGAATTTCCCGAAAGTCTGTCAGATAAAATGTATGCTAATACACTAAATGTTAACAAAATATCTTTATGATATCTTTTGGTTTGATAAAGTTATAGATAATTAAAAGTGTAACACATGTTTTAGGACACCCTGTATATCTTAATTTTTGCAGCATTTTAGATTTTAAGTTATCTATTTTTTTTATGGTTTACCTGATAGATTGTGGAGACACTGCTGCTGATATTGTTTTTATTCTTGACTCCAGTGGGAGTATTGGGGATGGTAATTTCGAAAAGACTAAGGAATTTTTCAAGGTAATGGTAGATGGATTTCAAATTGGAATAACTAGCAGTTATCATTACCGATGGAAAATCCGACGACGAATCTAGAACTTCGTCTGAAGCCCAACTATTACGTAACAATGGCGTCATAATCTTCTCTGTCGGTGACGGTGTTGATGAGTCTGAACTTCAGGGAATGACCACAAAACTAGTTATGTGTTTGATGTGTCCACCTTTAGTGCTTTAAATTCAATTCGGGATAAACTAGCACAAATAACATGTGAAGGTAACCATAATATATATGAATTCGAATTCTTAAAAGTATTTTGATTAATTTTGAAATTTTTTTCTGTCGGTAATTTGATAAATATAATATCAAAATAACGAACACTATTTAAGCTCGTAAGTGGATTAAAACAAATAAAATCAGGAGCAGAGCAAAAACGGACCTCATTAACATAAGAGTTGTAATTTGTTACATCAAATTGATAAATAAAATTCATCTACTTCATCGTTTAAGTTAAATGATAATAATAAAGTAATAATTTCTGCAGTACATAAGTAGATTCAGGTATAAGTATGATATCAAAAGCATACTCAAGCAAGAACAGTTATATAAATCCAAGATAGACAATGGTTCCTAAACAAATGTTATTCGAAATAATTTACAAATCCACACTCATTTCTTTCCTATAAACTTTATATCGTCTTTTTTCTTGCGTTTCAACGGTGCCAAAAAGACTTAAAAAGTGTAATATTAGAGAACATTCTTAACTCACAAATGCATGATGGGAGATTTCCAGACCAAATGTTATCCCTTGGACAGGTCCCCCGTTGATTGCCTACAAGTTTATACCCCGTCTTACAGCTGTAGATCACAGATTTTCCCTGGGAAAAGTCACTCCCATGGAGGTAACCATTATTTTGAGTGCCAGGGTGACCACATGAAGTTACTGAAAAAAAAATGTTGCCGTTGATATTAAAAAGCTTCGTTTTTATAATTTAATTGATAATAATTTAATTTTACTTGTAACACGTCATTTGATTGGATAAAAGATTTTATCCATTTTGTATAACATAACTTGCATACGTCACAATGAGTTACGTCAAAAAACGTATTACTCCCCTTGACGTTACTTTGAAAAACTTAATCAATGTGAAGCCTTATTCTGGGGGGAACATTGTCTCATTGTTTGCACTGAAATTAAATTATAAGGGATGAAGCTTATTTCAACTTATATTATACGATATAACAAAACTTGGGGCAGTTTACGCTTTTTTATAAACTGCTTTATAAAGCGTAAACTGCCCCAAGTTATGCTATATCGAATAATATAAGTTGAAATAAGCTTCAATCCTTAACTAGAAATCTGTAAATGTAGGTCTGAATTCGATACTATTGTCCGTTGCAAAGTGATATATTTTTTTTTATCAACAAATGCGAATTGGGATATCGATTTTCTTTGATTAAGGTTTGAATTTTGGTAGGAATATATATTATCTGACTTAAAAAATCCATTCTGTAGACAACAAAAGGAATACTGGATAATGAAACTGGACTAGGAGGAAAATATTCTGTCACTTCCTGATCCCATTTTGAGGGCTTCAAAATCAAGTAAGCCTAACAAGTTTGTTAATACGGCTGAAGAAGCTTACACACAAAAAGAACAAACACAAGACAGTAAAAATGATAAACAGGAAAAGAAGGCATTGAATAGAGGCAGACACCAAACTGCAAATATGAAAGGGATAATTGACGAAACAGTAATGCCACTGCGTTAACTCGTTGATAATTGAAACTGAAAATTTTACTGTGTTATGTACATAGATTTCATTTAAGCATTGAATTCGTATTTTTGGATGTCTTCGGTCCTATAACACACCTGGCCGTGCCTACAAATTGAATACCGCGCGTTAGCTTATATGCTTATATTTACATTCCCTAATTTTCCTTCTTCATAATCGCTTATTTCGTTAATCTCAAGTGTGAATTTAGCGCCCTTCAAAATTGTCGTGGTTAATAGATGTAAGAGCTAACAAAGTTAAATGTCTCAAACAAACATTGCGAGGAAAAAAGTGACAAATGAATTCTTAACGCACATTACGTTAATTTTTACGTTAATTTTTCAGGGTTAAAGTTTGAACGTCGTGGATTTCTAATGGATTTCATAAGGAAAATTACACCGAATGTAAATATTAACTAATATATGCATTTTTAGCAATTGGTTGACTCTTTACCAATTTTTGCGCTAGCGCTTCATGATTAAAATGCTGGCGTGAAGCGTCATAGTTCATATACCTCATAAATCTTCAAAAATTAAATTCATTTCTTAAGTTAATATTTTTCTGACAAGTTACCACAAATTACACCATTCAACTGTCATTTTTAAAGCAAAACAGATTGCACTGTATTGTTTGACGGCAAATACGGTATTATGACGTAACAATGGAGATATTCATGCTCATCCATTGTACATGTAGTTCATGAGAAAATATACAACACTCTAATTTGCAAAGAATATTAAGTAAAAATATTTGTAAATGTAAATATGTTATTTTGAATACACAGGGAAAAGTGGTTCAAATAATATTCATGGTATACTATTCTAATTTAAATAGATATGATTTTCATGCAAAATTGTATAAATATTCATGCGAATTTCATATGAATGAATTCTTATGATATTCATATAATTTTTAAAACGAATTTTTGTATGAAGTTTTCTTTGTTAGATATTTATGCAATATGCTTTTTATGTAAAATTCATATTAAAATTATGTAAAAAGCATTTGAAGTTTTCATATAATTTACGAATGCTTTGTTTTTGTCTATTGTTCATGCTATGAACTTGCATGAAATTCATGTGAATTTCATCTAAAATCTATTTGAGTCTCTTGTGCCTGTGTATAAGCATAACTCTTTTTTTAAAATTCTGTCCGGTAATGTAAGATATCCATCCACCGATTAAGAGGTACTGTCCTTCAGAAATTCAACGAGATTCATCATCACCACTCGTCAACATCACATGGACAGCACCTGACTTCTACGACCCTTTTGGACACAATGTCGAAGTGACCACTAACTACCCGAATCATGGATCAATATTTATCTGGGGAAATTATACAACTCAATACACAGCTCTTAAACCTTTCAACGGCCTTACAGTTCATTGCATTTTTGATATTACTATTAAACGTGAGTATGTGAAAAAGGTAATATCAAACACAAGGGTTACCAGCAATCCTGCAGCAAAATGTTTTATAGTATCTTTAATTCATAGTTCTCAATGCCGTATGTCAAAGTATTTTTACTTTGAATTCAGATTGTTACAGTTCTGTTTAAAATTTATGCGTGCACAATTTCTTTCAAATTAAATGTGGAATATAGTTTGAAAATTAACGTTTGATATATCTTTACAAATATTCCATCATGAGGACTGAATTATGGTTCCACAGGTTTCACTGTGAAAAAGGTTTGTATTATACTCTATGATACATCTTCAATCACGAAAGACAGGAAACATGAAATACTGCAATAAGAATATCACTTCATTAAAGAAATTGCTGAAGAAGTTGTTCAACTTTCCCCCTCAAATTCATATATCTTAAATTTACTTTTTCTTCTAAGACAAATGTGTCTCCTTATTTTACTATGCAAAAAATTCTAGCACACATTGGTTGAAATAGAGCTTATCAAACACCTGAACAAGACGATTAGATCAAATATACGACATGAGAATGTTCTTTGCATGAAATAACCATTTGATACATTTAAATTGTGTGTGATGATGTGTATAAAACTTTCTAGAATTAAGTGAGATTTATTGATACGGATATATTTTAGCTGACTGTTATGTAGAATAGAACAAACTTTGCTCAAAAAGTGCAAATTCATAGTTAAACACTTTAATACCTCTTATGTGTACGAATCTAATTTGGCAAAAGTTCAACAGATCAAAGATTAGAAATTGTCAATGTATAAATTACCAAGAAGTTTAAGATATTTATTTTTAGATTTCACAAATTTTAATAAAAAGTAATGAATATTAAAATAAAAATCAGAACATAAGTTAAGAGGATAAGAGTTGATCTTTGACCCAAATGAAGACCTGAATGCTTATTGTACAAAAAGGGAAGGTTTTTTGTACATAATTATACATAAGTCCAAATATCACGTAAATATCAAAGTTCGAAATTTAAGGAGGATTAGAATTACTAGTATAACGATTTCAACACTATCCCTTTTTATAGACTTAAAAAAAGATCAGTTAACACTGATTTACTCGTGTTTTGCACTACCCCATGCAAAGTCCATCATTTACGTACACTGTTTACCAAAGATTTTGGGCTTTGTAAGGAATCTTTACTTTGAGCTGTTGGCTCAAAATTAAGCTTTAAAACTTTCTATTTATCATTGATGTAAGATATCCAGCCGCCCATTACAAAGAACTGTCCTTCAATAATACGACGAAGTACAGATTCATGATTCGTCAAGGTAACGTGGCCGCCACCCGACTTTTACGACCCATTTGGTCATGATGTCGAAGTTACCACTAACTACCCGGAGCACGGATCAATTTTCCGATGGGGATACTATACTGTCCGATACACGGCTCTAAAACCGTCCAATGGTCTTATAGCCAACTGTACGTTCAGCATTAATGTTCGACGTAAGTTTTTCAAGTCAAATTTATAGATTTCTCTAAAGGCAGTAACGTGTAGGTGTTTTTTTTCAACAAATGATTATGACAGCCGTGGGTATTGTTATTTAATTTTTGTTATTTTTGTTATTTAAAATAATTATGAATGATAAACCCTTTTTAAAAAAAGATTAAAAAATGATGATTGGAAAAATAATGATTGGACAATTTGTCCGTTGTCTGTCATCGTAAACTTCTTTTCACATTTACATCTTCTTCTAAAGAACCACTGGACCAATTTCAACCAAACTTGCCAAATACTTTCCTAGGGTAAAGAGGACTCAAGTTTGATCAAATCAAGAGTCACACTCTCTTCCAAGGGGAGATAATTATGATTACGGAAAATGAATGGCATCTTTTAAAAATCGTCTTCTCAAGAACCACTGGGCCACGAAAGATGAAACTCGTGCGGAAGCATCCTCAGGTAGTGTAGATTCAAGTTTTTTTCAAATCATGACCTCCAGGGTAGGTTGGGGCCAAGATTGAGGGTCAAAGTTTAACAAAAGAATACATAGTGAAAATCTTTAAAAGATCATCTTACCAAGAACCACTGGGCAAGGAAAGATGAAACTCATGTGAAAGCATTCTAAGGTAGAGTAGATTTAAGTTGTTTAAATTATGACCACCAGGGTTGATTGGGGGTCAAAGTTTAACATAGGAATACATAGGAAAAAAATTTAAAAATTACTTCTCAATAACCACTGGACCAGTAAAAATGAAATTCAGGTGGAAACATCCTCAGGTAGTGTAGACTCAATTTGTTCAAACCATGACCCATTGGGTTAGGGTGGAGCCACAGTGGGGTATCAAAGTTTAACTTAGGAGTATATGGGGAAAATCTTTAAAAATGATATTCTCAAGAATAGCAAAGCCATAATTGGTCATGGTTATATGGAAGCATCCTCTGGTAGTGTGTATTCTATTTTTTTCAAATCATGACCCCCAGGGGTAGGATGGGGCCATGATAGGGTATCAAAGTTTAACCTAGAAATACATACCAGGTATATAGGAAAAATCTTTTAAAAATCTTCTCAAGAACAGGAAAACCATGAGGGTCATAGTTATATGAAAGCACCCTCTTGTAGTGTATATGTTAGTTTGTTCAAATCATGACCCCTGGGGCAAGGGTGGGGCCATAATGGGTGATTAAGGTTTGACGGATCACCAACACTTCATGTAGAATTACTTCATGTATATTTGTTCTGATGACTGTCACCAAATGAATTTACTGCTGCATTCTCACGAAGTGTTGGTGATCTGTTTTATATCTTTTAGTTTGTAACTATTTTTCTTTTTTATGCAATGTTTACAATGTAACAATTAAATTAAAAACATTTATTGATTTTGGAAGCCTCTGTTTGCTTTGTTCCTGATCTGTATTGTTAACTTTGAGCTTGAATAATTTTCATTATCTTCATATTATTTCCAAATCATGTTTAATGTAAAAGATTATTTGTTTTCTCAATAATTTGATTGAAAATCAATGATATATACTATATGAAATCGAAAAAAAGATACAATTTTAAAATTGTATTAAAATTATTGTTAAAATTGAAACGTACCGGCGCAGATGAAAAAAAGTTGAGGACAACAATTATAACTTTAATGAAAGAAGTTTTTAAAAATCTTTTCATACAATTTTTATAGCTTTGCCTTGTCCAAATATTTCTACTCCTTTGAACGGTGCTCTGGTCTGTAATGGATGGTTGACAGATTTTTTTCGTGCATGTGTTGTGTTCTGTCAAATAGGAACCCGACCTAGCCCAGATCATGACCTCAGCACAATGTATTTCTGTGGTGGAGCTGGACGCTGGTTTCCTTCGGTACTCCTGCCTTCCTGTCAAAGCAAGTACCTTTTTGAAAATTAAGTTTTTTTTTTCACAATTTTTGCAGATGGAACATTTACTTACAATAATGGATTAAAGAACGATATTCCTTTTTAGTTCCAGATATCCGTCTCCATGGAATTTTGGAAAACCTATAACGACCCGTCCCCACCCCATTTTCACACTGATTAGATATCTGGATGAGAATAGCCTTTTAAAATATATGCAGTTCTCAAAATTACTTTTGTAATTGGATAATTGATTCCTTTTATGTTATCAAAAATGCAAATCTTATTCAGAGTTATTGTTTTATATTACCCCTTCTTTAAAAAATATTCTGTTCTCAAGTATATTTTGTTCATTTAGCTTTCTTCATGATATATTTACCGGTTAAAAATTTGTATGTCTTTTGCAATTAAATGTTTTTGTTTAATTTTTCGTTATAGGATCATCTCTGCAACCACCTGAGAGAGATGCTTTTCATTACTTCATGAGCTGTGACAAAAAACACATAGATCAAATGACGAAAAACTATATAAACATTCTTAGAAAGACTATGTTTAGGAGTGTTTGCTTAAAGTTTAAGGATCTCTGCAAACCAGAAAATGTTGATGTCCAATGCTCAGATATCCAAGTAAATGAAGTGATATAATTCCACTTATGTATCTTTTATTGAATGCAACCCAATTTAAACTAGGAAATTCCATCAAAATTTATCTTTTTTTTTATCTAGATGACCTTCTATTGATAAGTTTGTTTTTGTCAAAGTCCTCATGCAGCAGTTGACCTAGTTCATCTGCATTTTGACAAAACACAAAAGCAAATAGAAGGAATGATAGTGTAGTCCTCTAACAAATTTCTTTTGCAGCAATTTTTTAAGATATATTCTGTAGAATCAAGAGAAAATAAAAAAGAGGATCTTGGGAGGAGAACAACTACCGGCGGTAATTGATTTTTGAATATTTCATCGTAGATTCAGTGCATATAAATGTATGCGTTGATTCAATACTAGCAATTCATAGGCACTTCTATTACTTACCAAAATTTGCAGACACTGTGCGAGGTTTAACTAAACATTATTGTCCTTTCTTTCCCTCTGTAGGACAGACTCCACTGTTGTTCAACCTTTCTTGTTTTCATTGTAATGAAATGTAGCAATACACAGGCAATAATTTTCTATGGTTTATTGACATGTTTAAAACTATACAGGTAATATAAAAAAGAATAGCTACATGTAAAAACCTTGCATGCATTGACAAGTAAAAGAAGTTCATACTCTCGAATGCAAAATGAATCAGTACAAAGTGAAAATCTTCACGTTCATATGTTTGATAACGGGTGACAATTTTGGAAGATCCCGAAGAAGATAAGGACTCTCCACAATATCTTCTACCATCTTGCGCCATTGAGCCTTGAATTTATAAACTGAAAACATTTGTGAGGTGTTATAAAATCAAAGAAAGCAGTTTAATATTTTCTTAATTGTTTAATTCTTACTAAAAAAATAAATTTGAAATTATTATTAAAACAATAACACAAATTTGACTCACCCTTTGCTACTTGTTATGCATCAAAACAGTAATTGATATGTGGTTTTGCAGACTTTATGTATGACTTGATCATTACATGGCACGAGATCATGCACCTTGACATGATTCAATTTTTTTATGTGCCTTAGTCCACTTGAAAAAAAAATTGAAAATATTTTTTCCAACAATTACATTTATATAAAAAAAGAACACAAAGTATATTCATATATGTATCTTTACCCGAGTACCTATTGTAAATACCGTATAAAAGTTTCGTACCTACGTAAAGACCCTCATAGACATGCACATTTAAACATATTTGAAAGTTCTTTTTAAAGAGGAGAAAAGAAATAGAGAGATACAATGATAGAAAAAGAAAAGAAGGAAAATGAAAGCAAAAAAATATAGAGGCACAGTGTTTTGGTTTTTCTTTTCTTTTCAATAGGGTGTAATGAGCAATATTCGTTGTTTGAAAAATTACATACATGTACGCATTTTCAAATTGATTCATTATAACATATCACAAATGCTCTTCCAGTTATTCTCAAACTCTGTATATTTACATTGTTTCAATAGCAAAAAATACTCTAAAAATTTCTTTACATTATAATTAAATTGTTTTTGAAGTAACTAATATACAAAGTTTGCACTTTATGGACATTCTTATTATTCCACTTAGAAGAATAACTTTAAGTATTTTTTTTTTATAAGTGTGTTCAAAAAATATTTTTACATGTAACTATCAATATAGTCAAAGTTTGCACTTTATGGACATTCTTCTTATTCTGTTTAGGCAAGGCAATAACTTTAAGACAGAAGACCCACCTATGATGATTTTTTGATTATACCAAATGTGTTCTTGGAATATATTTTCATTATTTATGTTGTTCTGCGAAACATATTTTCAAAGGACTTCTTACCAAAAATTGTTAACTTTGTTATTTTCTTATGGAATAATGGAATCACAACAGGACAGAGTTATCATTAACAACTATATATTATTCATTTCTATATATCTACTATAATATTTCCTTAAAAATATGTTTAAGACAATTAAAAAGTAAAAAATAATTAAAATATCTAGAAAATCCATTTTTAATAGTACACAACAGTCTTAGGTAATTAATCAATAAACTATACAATAACATCAAAATACAGGGGAAAAAATCATACAAAATCCTAGATACATGTAAATCCAGAATACAAAGCGTAAACAATATGTTTTATACAAAAGTGAATTTCAAGGAAGAGTGTAATAGTAATTTACAATTTCAGTAATCTTATTTTAATTTCATCTAAACTTTACAATCACAATTTTCAGTATACACAAAAGGAATAGTATCTTATTGAGATGTTAGAAAACAAGATTTCAGTTGATAGGAACTCCATTATCGTCCAGTTTCCTGATTGTACACAGAGCCACAACTTGTTCTTCCTGTTCATCAAAGTTAAAGGCGTCCGTCTGACAATCCTTCTTCTGAACCTTGACGCTTCCCTTCCCTAATCTATTGATAAAGTATATAATATCCATTTAAATTGGCACATTTAACAGGTATTATGTAAATAAGAAAATTATTCAGTATATAGAATGATTGACCATAATTTGCTGTACTTACTTTAGCTCCAGTTTTCTAAATTTAAACACGAAAACAGTTACCAGGGCACCAATAAGCATGAGTGTACCGACGCTTACTCCAACACCAGTGTACAACTCAGCTGTCGACAAAAAACCCACCAAAAGAATCAATATTGTTAACTATTTAAAATATATCCTTTAATAATAATGAGTAATTAAGTGACAAATTTTTACTTCTGGATGCAACACTTTTTAAATTGCTTAATAGGCCGTTTTGGTGATAATTTATGAATAAATTACATTTTTTCCCCTACAATTGATTACAATAAATTTTGACAAATCATACTTAAGCAAAATACAAACTTAAGTTTGTCAAATAGTGCTCTAATCTTTTTTGAAAACTTATTTCATACTTGTTTGAATTTCCTCGAAGACAATATTTCCACACATAATCGAGATTTTTTTTTAAATATTAAATATCTCCCCATCATTTTTTGTTTTAAATGCTTTAAATTCATTTTAATGTTTGCAGAAAGTGTTTCTTTTGGAAAACATTATAAAATACATTTGAATTACTCACTATAATTTTCCTGAAGAATCAGCATCACTGTAACATATAAAATTTTAATTTAAAAATACAATGAAGTGAACATAACTCAAATCGCTAACGTTTAAAATCTTTTAAAGAATCTTATGTTGCATTTAACAATTTGATTCAGCGTACCAGAACAGCTTCCCAGATCCCTGGATGCTCGTCCTTGTGTTGTCATGCTAGAAGGGCATACCTTACAATCAGTCTGACCAAGCTCATCCTGATAAAACCCAAAGTCACACTTTTTACATTCTCCATCGATGAAAAAATTACCCACACCACATGGCACTACAATAAAAAAAACATATAAATAGGTATCATCTTTGAAACAGCATTGTGAATCAATAGCAAAAGACACTGAGCTTATTACTGACCACAATGTATCCCAGTACTGACGAATCCAATCTCACACTGAATTTCTCCTCTGGCAGACGTTTGGTTTAAGTCAATCTGGTAAGTAATCTCGCTAATGTTGACTGCAAGTTTGTCTCTTGAAAAGGGTTGTTGAAAACTATTTATCGCACCTACAATTTCTTCTGCACAAACTTCGGATCCAACTTTAAAAATAAAACATTCAAATTGAAATAAAGTTAGTCGTTGAACTAGACAATTGATATTTTGCTGTTTGATTTAAATGTAGCTTTGGATTTTAAAGCAAAATTATTTAAAAGAGTTTGGTCATGATGCAATCTACTTCTTTAAAAGAAGATTCTATATAAATGTACATACATTCTATTGGTTTGCATGAAAATTTGATTTTAAATCCAGCAGTGTTTCGTCTTTCCTCCACAGCTCTTTTCTTGCGCTGCGAATCTTGACCACAATTCAAGATGACAACATCGCTAGAATTGCATATCCTTTTTTGTATGCAAGAAATTTCTTCCAAAAAGACATCAACCACTTCTTCCATTTTGTTTTTAATGATTTTATTGTTTCCGTCGTCGCAGAACAGATCTTCATAAAATGCCATAAAGTTTGCTGCTAGTTCTTTGCTTTCCTTAGTTGCTAATAAGATAAAATTATCTGAGTAAATAAATGAGCTCTTCATGAGTCGTCTTTGCAGGAACACGATTTAATAGTACGATGTTATGATAATAAATATCTTGCTAAAATCAATCAATATAGTAAGTTAACTTATCTAAAGGTTTTAAAACAAGTATTTTTCATATATTTCTCTATTTGAAATTCAAAAGTGCAAATGTTTATTTTTTTTTTTACAAATTGCATCTTTTTTTCTAACTGAAAGCTAAGGGAAAGATGTTTAACTGAAAAGATTTGATCACTTAGGATGACTTAGCTTTGTAAACATTATAGTTTTTCATTATTTTTGTTCCATTTGATCTATTCACAACTCATCTTTTTCAACTCACGATTACACGTTGGTAGGTCTCCATTTGGATTATCATCTGATTTAAAATCCCACAAAAAGAACGTGTTTGGACCACACTCGTAAAACGGTTTGATGCCTTTGTCAAAATCAAATCCTCGGTTACAGCTTATGGTACAATTGAATCCAGTGTCAGGAGACCCGCTGCAGTTCAATGAACCGTTTGAAGGCGCGCTTAGAGGTGAACATACTGAAAAGAAATGGTTCCTCAACTTAACACGAGTAAATAAAACTTCATACCAAAACAGAAGCAAGACTCTGCAGCTAGTGTATATTGAAATATAAGCAATTGATCCTCTGCAAGTTTAAGTATATGATCAATGGATCTAAAACCTCAGATTACCTGGACAATCTTTGACAATACATTCAGCAATTTCTTTGTCACTACCAGTGCAGAGTTTCCCTCCGTTATACGGGGCTGGGTTGGTGCAATACCGTTGACGAGTTTTTGTTCCATTACCACAGTTTTCTGAACATGGTGACCATTCGTCCCATTCACTCCAGTTACCATTCACTTCAAACGAGAGAACATGTTGTTGTTAAGTAGATAAAAAAATTCGGGTTTTATAAGGCCTTATTATTTATATTTATCAATTTTGTAGTCGCCTGTGTGTTAAGAGCGTTTGCTATTGAGTTGTGGAGTAAGACGTTGATCCTACTTTCGCGGGTTCAAATCCACTGCAGGACTTTGAAACTCGTCCTTTGGATGAAACCGTATATAAGAAATCTCGTTCACAGAAATTTCTGGCAAAAAAGTCCATCAATGCCCCATGATAATTAAAGCTCTAAATTTGCATCCCTCCACCACCAACTGGTGGCATCTCAATATGAATGATTTTTTAAGATGCGGCTAAAAACAAACAAATCAATTTTACAACCGTAAATCACGCTAAACTAACATATTAACTCACAAAAAAGTGATTCACAGAATTTTCCTTTGTAGTTTGGTGGACACGTGGACGTGTATCCATTGACGCCGTCCACGCACGTGCTGTTATTCTGACAGATATTGGTCAGACACTCGTCTATATTCTCCTCACAGAGCTTCCCTCTGTATCCCGGGCTACACTCACAAGTAAACCCACCAAGCTCGTTAATACACGTGTTGTTACCACATGGATGCTCATCACACTCATTTATATCTGCATAAAATAAAACAATAAATTAATGATTGTTTTAATTAAACTGATTGTTAGTTAAAGAGAGGGCGTTAAAACTAATTAATAGAGTGTATATACAATCAAGTATGTAAAAAATGTTGATTTTTCTCATTTTTAAGCTTGTTTCCGTCAATTTTATGCACCTCTATTGAACAACCTCTTCCTTCAAAACACCTCACTGATTAAATTTTCATATTTATATTGATATTTATGTTGTGTCCTACCATCACAACTGCTAGGAATCTGTATGAAACTTTCCATCAAAAGGGCTGTTTCCCAAGAAAGAACATCCCCTTCCTCGCTTATAATACAGCGATTGGATTGGCTGCTTATTTCCTCTTCGGTGCGATTTGAGGCCCATATATTCAGTTGAGATACAATAAGTGGGCCTATGAATTAAATCTGCGTTATAGAGTCTTGTATTACTTGGAATTTTAATGTTTTTTCACAAAAAAAAACAATGCGCTTCAGTACAGGATAACACTTCCCACCAATATAGAAGATATAACTTTGCCGATTTTTTTAATCATAGATTATTTTCAATGTAATATTTGTGGTAGGTATATTCCATGTCAATCGTTTGAAAAATTACCGAACTCGAACATTTTACAAATTTTAATTAATATTTTATACAACCAACTGATACAAAGCTTTGTTAGATGATTAATAGAAAAATGTCTTAAAGGTCCTAGGTTTAATATGAGAGACACTCACTGTACCTGTTAGTGTAAGGCTGGTGGTTGTATTCTCATTTACTCTGGACATTTCAATCTCTGTTAGATTCACAGTGTGTACAATAAATGTCCATTCCTTATCGTCAATCAAGATGGTTAAATTATTTTTGCTATTATATAAATACAACGATATTAATATGTGCGTACTTAAATTAACGTTTTCCTTATTTCAGAGGATTTGAATGATTCAATTCTACTTACTTGGATTCGTTTCTTTGCTCAATTGATATTGTTTTTAGTGATCTTCCATTGTTTTGAATAAGAAGTGACGGAATTGTCTTGTTGAAGCTCGGTGGGAGACGCAGCCATGCACTGAGAGTAATTTTCCTTTCCTCATTAGTCAAATCGATGTCAACACTGGCCTTTGATTCAGTGGAACCCAGAAAAATGTCAAAGTCTACGCAAAAAGCATAGGGGCATGTAAAAATGAAGCAAAAATTTTTAATGTGTAAAAAATATTTTAATTCGAAAATATATTCATTTTGAAACGTAAAAATAAGCATATAAAAACAGTATTTAAGATATGGGATCAGAATCCATGGAGGATTGAGCATCCCCTGTTGGCCGTTCACATACGCCATGTGCTCCTTGTCATTTTCGAAGAAAACGGAAAAATCCCGGGACAATTTAAAATGAAAATAATGGCCTAAGATATAGTATGATAAACTTCAGTCAGCAAGTTAGATTACATATGCTGACGAGGTCATTGTATGGACAAGAAAACTTGTGATATGATGACTTTAAACAGTGCGACAGACGACGGACGCCAGATACACTTTGATCTGAGAAGCTCTCATGAGCATTTGGCTCAGATGAACTAAGAAAGCGGTAAAAGCACCTTACATGTACATTCAGTAGAATTATTACTGCCTTCGATTAGAGTTGTTTGTGATGGTGGACAAGCAGTACACACGGAGGTGCCATAATCGTCTGCATAGAAGCCTCTGGGACAGGGAGAACAAGGCCCCACCCCTGTCACTGACCAATATCCCGGCAGACAAGCCTCTGAAAGAATTCAATGGTGTAACAAACCAAAAATTGATGGGTAATTAAATCAAAAGTAATTTCTCTTTTGTTTACCTAAACACTCCCGTGCCGATTTAGATCCGACTTGTGCTGTTGTTGTCCCCGTGGGACACTGAAGACAAGCAGGTTGTCCCTCCAATGGCTGATAGTGACCTTTAGAGCATTGGGGACATGTCTGAAGAGAGGGGTTGTAATATGTCCCCGCTGGACACTCCACTACAAAAGTAAACTGCATCAAGGATACAGGTTTATGTATTTGTAAAAAAATTTTCTAATGACCATTGCAAAAAAGTACAAGAAAACCCAGTGCAAAAAAAAAAAAAAAACGATTACCTAAATTGCTTCATGTCTGTATCAAAAAGGGAAATAGACTTGCAAGTACATGAACATTGATCAAAACAGTACTTACAACAACCAAAAAATATCACTTTCAATCTACTTTTAAGTTTCTACTTAACCTACAAAAAGAATATTTTTTACCACACGAGGAAGTTGTGTATGATGGGAACGTGTTGTTAGGACACTCAAAAGCCACATTCGCTGCAGAGAGGTCATTAGCGCTCAAAGTCACATTGTCGTCTAGAGTTATTGAGAGACTTCCGTTCGAACTTTCATTTATTAAGACGTTCATCATACTACTCTGAATGCCCACGAAACCCTGTTCTGTCTGGACATTCTCTGAGTCTATGACAAAGTCTACAACAATTTCTAATTTTGGTGATCTCTTCCTTCTCGAAGTAGCTCCGCATAGCACCTGTAGATAAGGTTAACAACACAACGTTGCATTCCTCATTTACTTTGATTACTAAAAAGAACATTTTTAAATGATGAATACTTTTGTTGTTTTATTATTGTTTAAAGCATTCACTCAACAAGAATTCTTAATATCAATTAAATGAAAAGTCTACTAATTATTTTAAAAGACATACCTCGACATTTTCAATTTTGCACTGGCTCTTATATTTTATACAGGCTTCTTTGAACGCAGACTTTGACAAGGAACTGATATAGTTTTGTCGAATGTGTTCCTGTACGATGGGATCGGTACAATCACCATCGTAGTAAAATGATGAGTGCATTTGAAATTTTGCAACTTTTACTTCGTACGTTTCTGGAAAGATCAAAGTTATAACATGAGTACCTAAGGTATTGCAACAATGTAATTTTTTTTGCAAATTTCATTTTTTCTTAAACGCCTGCTAAAACAATCAAATAACAGGCTATATTTGTCTTTTTATACTGATATCATATAGGAATAGAAATTGTAATTGAAATATTGCTACGGAATTCCTACTCGACTTATTAAACGATTTATAAAACGTTTGCCAACAATAAGGAAATGCCAGTTTATAAGTGTCATTTTCTACTTGATAATATTCGTTTTAATGTTGTTCGACCATTTGATATATTTTACTCATGGAAGAAGATATTAAAAGCTTCCTTCTCTGCAGGACACATGCATATTTGTAAACCCGGTAGCTTTCAAGGTCACAAGAATATAACGAGTACAAAGAAGTATAAAATTACTAAAAATAGTTTATGATTGATTCATTGTATTTTGTTAAACGTCCCATTCGCAAATTTTTCGCTTATATAGAAACGTCAACATATGCCAGTGAAGGGCTTCAGATTAAGACGTATACACTCAGGGCCATTGAGCAGTAAGGTTTCTACATCGTGCCAACGCCTAGCGTGACACGGGACCTACGTTTTTAAGGTCATATCTGAAAGACCTGTGACTTTCACTTCTATTGCCGAGCGCTTGGCAAGGGAACAGTCTCTACCTAAGTTTAGGTTTGACGCGGCGCCGCAAACGAGAATCGAACCCGTGTCTCCCGGTCAAGAAGCGAACGCTCTACCACTAGGCTACCGTGACCGGCAAATGATTTATGAAAATAGATTGAAGGAAATCAAGAGGAATACGACAATATTTAACAAATCATATTCACAGGTATCTCATGAATGGACGGTGTAGTCCTCTCCCTCCTCCATTAGATTAGACACAAACACGTATCAAAAATTCATGAACTAAAAGATCTTATTGAAATATTAGCAATGATTATTTTTTTACTTTTCTTAACACCTTTTATGTTAAAATAAACATTAATTGAAGGTATTAAAGAAAAATCTACTTGAGCAATCTGGAATAGGAAGAGCTTCCTTAGGTTCCCATATTCCGCTGTCTCCACAAACTAACATCTCATGGAAGGGATAATCTGGTTTGAAATAATACCCCTCCTGACACTGAACCTGACAAAACTTTCCATCCAACCACGAATCACAGGCAACGGCGCCATTCTTTGGTGGGATAGGGTCGTTTGCACAGGCCCGAAAAACTGCAAGGAAACATTTAATTTGCGAAAATAAAAAAAAAAATATATTAAAGAGCCTCAGAACCAGCTTCTGTTGTGTTACACATCAAAATATTTTTTAAAAACTGAGAAGATTTAAACCGAGTGAGGCAAAGAAGAAATATATGCAAAAGCTTTGCAGAATATTACCAGTATATACCAGCAATTTATTTTAGACTATTTTACAAAAAGTCTTATTTCAAAAGACAAATTTTACATAAAGATTATTATTCGTTTTTTTTCTTCTAATAAACCCTTAAAGTTATAAAGATGACTCATATCTCACTCATTTCTCAAAATGATTTCGCTCAAATTTTTAGAGGTATGAAGTTACTAAAGTTTGAATGGTCTAAAATTTCTAAATGTCACTTCCGTTTTAATTTATTTCCCTTTAAACAAAAATTTATAGGCTTTCTTATCCAGACAAAGGCTCAGAGACGGCATAAAGCTGGAGCGGAAATTCTACTGATTTTAGATAATAGATTGGATTGAAATTGTGCACATCGTTTTTGTTTTCTCAATCTCTATTCAAAATGGCGCTATATAGAAATCAAAAATTAGAACGCTTAAAAGAGCCAAAAATAACTGATATTTTGCTTTTTATCTTCTAAACTAAATATATTTTGTTAAATCATATAGAACATAATTTGTGCAGATTAGAAGATCTTTCAAATGATATCTCGGAAAAGGGCTGACCCCTAAATTAAGGGATCTAGAGGGGCCAAAAGATTTTTCCAGATATCTCAAAAAGTATTGAGAATTTGTTATACTTCAAAGGAGCAAAGTTGTTGAAAATCTCTGGTAAAATCTTCTGATGTCATCAAAATACGTCCTGTGACGTCACTTCCGGCCAAAGCGGATGTAGTCCGAAACTGCATATTTTTGACGTTTTTGACATGTTTTGGGGAAATAGCGGAAGCATAAAACTTTTTTCCGCACAGGTCACTTTTAAAAGGTCAAACAGGAAGTAGCAAAAAATGGCTTAGTTTTGCAATTTTCAACATATATATTGGAAGATTTAAGTCAAGAGACGTCATTTCTCTTTTTTTAAAAAATAAAAGTTACTTCCGGTCAAACAGGACGGAAGACCTACTCGTTGCTTTGCAACGAGCTTTGCTCTAGTTTTAGACTATTTTACAAAAAGTCTTATTTCAAAAGACAAATTTACATAAACATGAAATCTACTTTCGCACAATTTAATAAACCCTTAAAGTTATAAAGATGACATGTACAAATATGATATTACAGGAAACACAAAATGATATCTAATTAAAGCATGAAGCTTATTTCGACTTTTGTTATACGATATAACATAACTTGGGGCAGTTTACGCTTTTTTTTTATAAACCGCATTGAAATAAGCTTCATTCCTTATAATTTAATTTAAGTGTAGACAATAAAACAATTTTTCCTCCGAAAAAAGGCTTCAAATAAAGCATATTTTTAAAGTAACGTTAATCTGAGTAATACGTTTTTTGACGTAACTCATTGTGACGTAGGCAAGCTATGTTATACAAAATGGATAAAATCTTTTACCCAATCAAATGACGTGTTACAACCAGAATTAAATTATACAGAAATAAAAAGAAATTATTGAGAAACCAAGAAGTAGATAAACATAAGAATTTTGATTTATTATTTAATTTTGAATTCTTTAATGAATGAAATAAAGATATTGTCAAATTGATGCCAACTCCCTTACCCTCGCAGTAGGGTTGTGTTTTTCCAAAATCCCAGTAGACATACTTTCCATCCTTACTCTTGACACAGTTGGTAACGTTGGGTCCAACCAATACTGACCCAATTCTGCACGAGAAATGACACTGTCCACCGTATTTATACCCCCAAGGACACGTCACAGACAAGAAAGTATCGTCAAACAAACGTTGACATGTTAACGCTGAAAATAAAATCCAATTTTATATAAACTTTCATATCATTCGCTTTTCAAATCAAATATGACTTCAAATATCTGTTGCCTCTCCTAAATCTTCGAATAATAAACCCGGATTTTTACGTCAGGGAATCGAAAAATTAAAAATGAATATCAAGAAAGTTGCTTTTACAATTCGCAAATATTTCATGTTTTTCATATGCAAACAGTAAAGATAAGGATCAGTTAAAGATACAAAAAGATCCATTAACAATACAAGTACCTTAACAGGACATGAAATATGTACCTCTTTTTTCAAAGGTGAGATCAAGAGCTAAGAGGCATTTCCTTTTGAGGGCCATGCCTGTTGTTAGTCCTATTGTATTATTGTTCTGTATTCGATTTCATTATCAAAAGGGGCCTAAAAATAAGTTTGCTTGCTTGTTGTTTAAGATCCCTTTCAAGAATGTTTTATGCATAAGGATACGCTACCACTTCAGGATGTAGAGCTTATGCTAGGCACTAAAGGCCATTGATCAGTGAGTGATCTTTTTAGTGTCAGCGAATACTGCGACACGGAACCTTGGTTTTAGAGTCTCATCCGAAGGACCAGCTTAAAAAGTAGGTATGTATCATGTCAGTCCAAATGCGACAAATTGATAGCTTGTATTTGCTAACAATGTCATTATTACGTCCATAGAATTTACGTTATTTTGACATTAAACTAGCAACACAGAATATTTGACCGACTGATAATCGCTTTGACTGTTTAATCGGTTGAACCTTTACAAACTGCATTTCCTAGATGTAAATTATTCTTGATACTACAAAAATACCGAAGAATAAATATTTTCGAGCATACAATCTCGCCTAATTATACGAAAATAAAGGTCCCATAAAAAATAACTTAATGTATCTTTACTTTTCATAGAAAGTGTAACATTGCATGGTGTTGCCTTGTTGCCTGTCCTGTCTTTAGCAGTATACTGGACTTGACGTGTTCCGGCCTCTATGACATCCCCGGGAGAAATCTCTACAGACTTGTGTAAGATAATGTCCTTGTCTTCATTATCGTACACCCCTGGTTCATCCCAATATATTCTTCCTCTAGTAGAATTGATATCTGCCGTCCCATCGACAAAAGGTTTGCAATTCTCTATCCTTGGTTTTAATATATCTGAATTACAAACATTAGTAAAAAATCAACAGAATAATTTTACAATCAATAACATGAGTGAACAATCAACTGCATCATTAATGAATTGCAATGATTGCAAACAATTATTTTCAAAATAAACATTAACTAAACAAATGAAAAAAAAAACAGTGACGAAACAAAACCGAAATGTTCTGACCAATGCATTGTGGAAATGATCCCTTCCATTGTCCATCATTCCTGCAAAGTTTCACTCTGCCTTTCCCTGGAGGAATGTCGAATCCAGCTGGACACTCCAGTGAGCACTCACTTTGGAACTTATTCTCCTTGGTGCACGAATAGGAAAGACCTTTTCCTTTTGGAAGTGGAGGACATCGTTTTTCTAGAGAGTCAACAACATTTTTCATTACTTTATGTATTAATGCAATATCATATCAGATTTATAATTTCTATTAAAACACTTTATAAAAAAGTTTAAATAGATTTCACCAAAAATGAGAAAAAAAAATTTGTGCAAATAAGGTTTAAAGTAAAAGATATAGAGATAACAAACAGTATTTAATATATAACAGCCTGTCTCCGAGAAAAGCATGCAAAATAGTCCGAAAGCAGGTTTCTCCGATTGCCTTCAAATTTTAAGTGCCAAATCTACTATGCATAAAATGAAATCAGACAAATTTCTATTTAGCTACTCCAACCCACATATGTTTTATGGACTGTTACTAAAAATAGCTCTTATGCAACAAAAATTGAGGTAATTTTTTTAACATTTTAGATATATTTTGAGAAGAAAAATAATTGCAACTTTAAAAATTATTCAAATATTTAGTTTTGTTGTAAAATAATAAAGATTAGTTCTTTTTAAATGCATAGTCAGAATGATTGACATTCATTTTGTTTTAGTGCAAATAGGTCATGAAATTGGCAATATTCCAAAATTTGAAAAAAGTGACAATTTTTAGTGGAATTGAAACTATTCTAGTTGAAAGGGGGGATGTTTTAATCCAGTAAATTTTATTGCTTATTGTTAATAATACCTATGTTAACAAAATATGAAAAAATTACCCTTGGCCAATGTACACTTTAGAAAATATTGAAAGTCAAAGTTTGTGAAATTTTCACATAAAAAAATTTCAAGGATACAGTTAGCGCTACTCAAAAAATAGCTCAAAACATGTCCACGACTAAAAAAAATTATTTTCTAGAGTTCTTCCTATCTGTATTACAGAATTTAAACAAACATAGCTCTCAATTTAATACTTAATGACTTTAAATTTTAAAAAATACATGGAAAAAGAGGCCGGGGGGGGGGGGGGGGAGGGACTGGTATGAATTATTTATAAACCACAAAATGGATAAAATTAAGTATAAACCTTTATTATAAAATTATAGCCTTTTGATGAGGTCAATCCCTCGATATATAAACCTTAGAGAAAGTATATCGACCGAGCACGAAGTGCGAGGTCGATATGCTTTCTCTAAGGTCTATATATCGAGGGATTGTACCGAATCAAAAGGCTACAATTGTTTTATTATTTTTTTCAGTTAATAAGAAAAGTCTTAAAATCCTTCTTTATAATATTCAGAGCCTTCTCATACAAGGCATTGTTATGTCATTGCATTATGATGTCACAGTAATGAAAACCAGCTGCAGTACCTGTTTTTAGAAACATCCAGTCTATAAAGACTATTGTGACGTCAGCACTATTGTTGCTTCACAGAAGAACGTTTCCAATTTTAGAAACAGCAGGTTTATAAATTTTTAAAATAGAAACATCCAGTCTGTAACACTTTTTATACTTGATCATGTGATCCAGTTTGAGCCAATCAGATAGTTGGAATAGTAAAGAAAAATAATAACACTTTTTATACTTGATCATATGATCCAGTTTGAGCCAATCAGATAGTTGGAACAATAAAGAAAATAATAATTACATTTAATGCATGTATACATACTTGGTCAATATTTACACAAGTGAACCAAGTGAACACATTATTCATCATACTAGTCATTTGATCAACATATTCATTTGAGTGTTAAAGTAAAAACAATTTCTGCAATTTTTCAACATCATCGATACAAACATTGAGATATTTCAGACAAGTTCTTTTTACTGGGGGAAGGTGAAATGACTTGAAAATTTTTTTTTGATGAATGTGACACAATACATCCTCCTTTTTTGGAGCTACTTAGCCATTTATTTTGTTAATAAAATTTCATAATTTGCACTCATTACTTTCTTCTTCTGCCATAAAACACAATCTGGACATTTACTGCTCTCTAACAATCTTCACGTATCATAGACAAGTAATTGTTCACTTTCTGGGAGAATCATTTTCTGGATTTTGAAGCCAAACCAATTCATTTTCCTGTTGGCTCTTACTGAACTCCACCAATGCCTGTTCCTGATAGGACACTTTGCAGTTTGTATCAGTAAATTGTGAAACTCTCTAATGCTTTGAACATTTTAGTAGCATACAAATTTGCTGTGATGTTCTTACTTGATCTTGAATTTGTAAAATAAGTGAGATTTCCAACTGCCAAATATTTTTCAAATTTCAAAATTGAACATTCTTTTTGATGTGATGAATATTAACAGGAGTTACATGAATTGATGATTACTACTCTCTTTGCTTGCTGTAGTGTTTTGACAACTTTCACAACTGGTATCATCTTTCACTTGATCAGTCAGATCATGGTTTTATTGAAATGAGTTTTCAGTTCTGCTTCATTGTTCCTGCTTTCTTGGAAAAACTGCATAACCTATGAAACAAAATGCACCATAAAATGAAAAGAAATATGTCCTCCTTCTTTGAGTATATATCAGTAAAATATGACGACATAAAGAATAATTTTTTGTACATGCATAAGTAACTGCTAAATGGAGGAAAAGTGAAGTTGGATCATTGGAAAGGACTAAGTAAGAAAATAATGACAAAATTATTGCTGTCATCAACACTGATTTTAAGAATATTACGTTTATAATTAAAACAAGAGGCCCATGGGCCACATCGCTCATCTGAACACCGTGGCTAGCATAAAAGCAGAAATTAATTTATTATTGAAAAGTTTAAACCTAAAAGTAATCCCAATCATTCCTTAAAGGCGAGAGGTAATTGCACAAACTTGAATCAACACTACCCGAGAATGCTTCCATATAAAAACATGTATGACCAATCATGGCTTTGCTATTCTTAAAAGGATTCTTAAAGATTTTTCCTATATATTTCTATGTAAAACTTTGGTCGGCCATTGTGGCCCTGTCCTATCCTCGGGGGTCATGATTTGAACAATTTGAATCTACACTACCTGAGGATGCTTCCATATAAATAGGACCATTCATGGCTTTGTTATTCTTGAGAAGAAGAATTTTAAACGAATTTTCCTATACATTTCTATGTAAAACTTTTTCATTGTGGCCCCGTTTTACGGTAAATCATTCACATTTACACTTAGACTTGATCTGTAGATAATTAAATTAGTGTGATCAAGAGAATAGCAAATATGTACCAAACAAAGTAAGAAATCACTGGCTTTATCATTGTGACAAAACTGAGTCATTGAACATGCTGAATAGCTCTATTAAAGAGCATTTGACTATTATAATAATTGTTTTTTTCATATAAGACTTCTAAAATATTTTTTTCAGATAACAATTCTTACCATTTACATCTGGATCAGGACACTTGTCTTTTAATGTATTGGGGTCCAAAAAAATCCTCTGCATGTTGACAAATGTTGCTACAAGAAGTGAAAGTTAATAGTAAATTATTTATAACTTTACCCAGGTTTGTTATACAATTTGAATAATTTGGACCTCTCCAACATATGGTATACTAATTAAATATCATATTGTGCATGCTTAAATGTTCTGTATAAACTTTCTGTTATGAGTTCATATTATCATGACCCATTACCTTTCTAAAATATCAATTTTGCAAAAATTGTTAAAGTAAATATGATAGAAAAATATGTGTGATAATATTTGGATAAAAAAACCTTTCCTTCTTTGAATACCTGGTACTTTTACATATACTCTTTAGTTTAGACTTATTTTGAGTAGCAAACTATTTCACTACTTGCACAATACCACAATTCAAAAGCATAAATTACATGTATGCGAATCAAAGCATATGTGCAGTTGAATGTTGAATATTTCTTAATTAGAGAAGTTATAATTTTTACTCCATCTCTTAACAACTGTTTGAACTTTCTTAATTTCTTTACAAAAGTTTACATGTATGACATATCAAACAATAAACATGACTGTTCCTAGTTAGAACATTTTCATTCAATATATAAATTTCTATTACAAATTCTTTATAGGTCACTGTAGATATTGAAATAAATAGGAGCTGCAACTTGGATGTCCAATTTTTTTTTATTGCAGAATTATTTCAAGACCAGAGAAAAAATATTTATAATCTTCTGTTGTTCATATTTGCCGCATGGCGATGAAAAAACTTTTTCATAACCTATGATTGAAGCAAGATTGCATTATCGTTGTCCTGTACAATATTGATTTCTAAATAATTTTAATTTGCTTGTACAGAAGTCTTTCTTCTAAAACACTTTAATACTTCATTTTAGTCTTGCTGAGCATACAGGTTTTAATTTAAATACAAATCTAACATTATAACACATTATATAATTTTTATGGCAAAATAAATTTCTTAAAAATGCAGCTCATATTACTTGAAGTAGAGATAAGATATTTGGCCTACCTGTCAGCATGGTCAGATCCTTCAGTTTCTCGTCAACTTCAAGGTAGCAGAAGTTTGTTATTCTTCTTCGCCATTTTAACCATTAACCCCCCCCCCCCCACGTTATCCGTATGTCTTGGGTAGATTCATAACTTAAAATATACCACTGTATACATAGTCAACATGGTCATGAGAAAAAATCCACATTTCACAATCAATCATCCAGTCGGTCCATAACTTTTTCCCATACAACCTGATACTATAGCATCTCGGTCGGAGCCTTAAAGAAGTGCAAACAGTGTGATGGATCCTTAATACAGTCATACAAATAAAATACTTGACATACACGGCACGAAATGTATAAAAAATCTCTGAAGTTGTATTGTCCTCTTGGCGACCCTGACACATTGGAATGTCATTTCCGCCTTTTTCACTTGAAGACTTCCACAACGGGAGATAACTCTTATGCACACTTACTCATTCTTGTCATCTTATTTTCTTTGATCATTTTTGGAGTAATTTTAAGTTTTATCAACTTATAAATTTTTACAGCCTTTCTAAATATAAATTCAGACTAAAATATGTTTATTGGTCATCAAATGAATCCATATTAATAGTATTTGATTAATTCTGTGGTACAAAATGAGAGCTTTGCTAACATGCTTAGGTCATCATTTCAACAATTTATAAAATATATCTGCACTAAATAGCCAAGGGTGAATTTTTTATATTTGATAGAACATAAATCAATTATTATAAAAAACTTTATTTGATCAAATTATTTTATCCCCCACCGCTGTACCACTGTACTAAATATCCATAATAATTCTGAATTTCCAAATTTCGCCTAAGATATGGCTTCAGTATAGACTGCAGATAGTTGTAATCATTATGGAAAATAGGTATTTGTAATTTTTGACATATATGTATTTATGAAATAATAAAATACTGTATTTAAAATAATTATGCAGTGACTTTATCAGGCCTCAAACTTTCCTATTTTTACCTTCTATATAATGCCAATTATTGCTAAATATAGAAATTGGGTTGTTACTAAAAATAGATGCATGTGACACACTTTTACAATTTATTTTTTATATCCTAATACAACCTAGATCTTAAAAATATATTACAAGATGAAAAGCTCTATACACCCTTTCGGACATTTTTTCAGATTTTGCATGTTTTTCTCAGAGACAGGCTGTTAAGTTCATAAACCAATACAAAATAGGAGCAGAGCAAACACGCACCTACAAAACATAAGGGATGGGATCTGTTGCCATAGAGGAGTGAGCATCCCCTGTCGACCGGTCCCACAGTAAAATATACTTTTTTTTTTACATTTAAGTTACTGAACTTTATTCCAGAACAGAATTTAATAATAATTCTAATTTTTGAATGATGTTTTTTTTAAAAATCATTTCTTTTCCAAACAATAAATTTTGTTAAAAAATTGTATTAAGATATTAATATACTTGCAAGTGAAAACGATAGTGAGATTCGTTTGATGTCTTTGTAAGGCTTTTATTCTTTTTAACAATATAACACAAATATGTTTTGAAAGAATTGTCTTAAATGATGATTGACCAATATTTCATTTGATTAAAATGTTTTTAGATCCACTTGAAAACAAAAGTGTTCATGTGATTGAAGAGAAATCTTGATTATGCAATGCTTAATTTCATTTGACAAAACGGTAAGTGAGGAAGAACAAAGTGCTCAAATCTTTTAGAGAGTACTTCAAGTAAAAAAAAAATAGGTTAAATGCGAAATCCATTTTTGGTTAGTTGCTTCTTCCTGTGAAATTTCCCTACTTTAGAAAACCATCACCGTACTTGTAATCTTTAGAAAATATTTTTAAATGTATTTTCGTTGTCCATTTAGGATTTTAAGCCATCAATAATAAAGAAAGCACTGTTTTTCAAATTTGGCCATTCAACGAATTTTTTATAAATTAATGTATCCTTGTTTTATCAACTTTTTCCTGAGAATACTGCCAGTTTTCAGGAATTGATCTTTATAATAAATTCATAATTAAGTTAAGTTGACGATTGAAAAGTTGAAGTCATCACATTTAACATAAAATTAAATAACAGATATAAATAACTCTCTTATTATAGCAGCAGCTCGGAACATTTTAGTCATTGTTTTCTACAGAAAAAAATTGCCTTTCGTGAACACTAGCCGTGATTATGCATCTGAACATATAGGTTATCATCGGATGTTTGTAAAATAATTATTTAAGTATAAGAAAATGTAATTTGATATAACTTTCGGTGTTTCAGAACAAAAACAAATTCAAAAATCTACAAATAAAAAAAATTAAATCATATTTTTTATTGATTTCAAATGAATTTAAAGTAAAACATCAGGTTTTAATCAGATTTACTAGAAGATTTCAAAATATGATTGAAAAATACAGGTCACCTTTACATATTGGAGGTTTGGAATCCCACCTTCCATTGTTCTGGCACACTGTCTTACGTTTACCATCGAGATTATATCCATAATAACATTCAAATTCACACCTGCTACCATATCTTCCATCGTAATCTGTACAAACCCTAATTACACCATCACCCAGAACAAGTTCGGGGCACCGCGTGGCTGCAAAACATATCAGAAAGCGTATTAACCTAACTCATTGATGCATATAAATTAGATATGAGAAGGAGAGAGGGAGATAGGGAGAGATAGATATAGGACCTGTAACATCTATGGTAAAGGAGCACGTATCCATGTTTCCATCAAAATCACGTGCGTAGTAACCTATTTCTGTGTGACCTAGGAAGGTATCTCCTGAATTCTTGTTTCCTTCTTCTTTATGAACCCTTGTTTTTGAAAAAAAAGAAAAGAAAATCTAACGTTAACTAATTTTCCAGAAAATTGAGCATGTTTTAAAAAAAGTAATGGCATAAAATGCAGGAATGAAAGTCATTACAACATATTCCTTTAAAACTACCTTCCCATTTTTCGTTTCTAAGCAATATTAATGTACAGAGTATGAATTTTATATCTTTAAAGTCTTACTTGACATTTCCATCCTTAGTATCATTTGCATACGGCTCTTTCCAGAAAACAACTGTTGTTAACCTCCCCTCATCTGCCTTTACTTTTATATTTTCTGGACAATTCCAGATTGTGGGGCCGGTATTGTCAACTGGAACAATATTATTGATAGTTAGAATCCGACTTAATTTGTTTAATCAACTGTAATCTGCATTTTGGGCAGTTTTTTAAAATATATATTTATTTATAGATTTTAGATTGTGCAAGTATGAAAAACAAATATAAGTATTATAAATACATACTTTTAGGACGTTTAAAGAGCGATTGCTTCGTCTAGAAGAAGAAAAAACATCTTTCAATTAATACATTACTTTTTCTAACGTACAGTTTTTTAGATAATTAAAAATGCCAAATTACTTACAAACCCTAATACGCCGTTTGTAAGGTATACACCATAAATGAAGAGGTAACGCAGAATGTCCATTGTGGAAGTAAATTCCGACATCAGCGGCTTGTTTACCTTTTACACTGATGCAGCGAGGGCTGAGTGCAGCTTTTCATGTTTTTTTCTGTTGAAATGTCTGAGTGTTTGTTAAGTGTCAATATGATGTCGATATAAGGGAAACATTTCACGTGTCATTCTAAAAGGGCTCGCTCTTATTTTGAAGGTAAGTCAGTTCATCTTTTTCGCAGAATTCATATGTGACAAAAAACCTACCACCATACTAATTCACAGAAATACACAAACTGTAAATATGAAAATATGTTTATATATTTTAAAGCTGCAAATTATATTTTAAAAAATTGTCAAAATTCAAGAAATTATATTATCATAAAAATATAATATTGAAGAAAAATGCTGTTTTATAGAAACAAAATGATCCTTTTAAAAAGGTTAAAAAAGTTTCACCAAAGCATATTTTATGTAAAACATACTTAATACATTACTTCTATATTGTACTCAGAATGCCCTCTCATAAAATTGATCGTCATCCATCGGATTTAAGTAAGCATTGTTTACTCATTGTTAACAACAAAAAGCTTACATGAATTTTAATTAAATTAGTGGACAATTACAGGCAACTGTTACTTTAAAATAACTGGAAAAAGGCAAATAGTACTTAAGGTACTCCGATCCTCAGGTTCTAAAAATCAGGCATTGACTAATTGTCTCAGAATTCTCAAAGTAACTTACTTTTACCCACGATAATTCTTCAAATTTCATCTTTGAGGAGCATCATATTATAAAGGGAAAATACGAAATTCTGAAATAAATTTTCAGCAAACGCGATTTAAAACATTTAATATGCATTTTCCAATTCAAATTTGATTAACAAACATATTTTAGAAATAAAATCCATAGGTATCCAGGCTTTTGAAGAAATTGTACAAATTTTATACAATTTAACTTAAGTACTTTAGTTTCTTCTATTTACTTTTTACAATGGATAGTGTATAAATATTTTCCTATCATTACAAAAGACCATTAACCACTGCTAATTTCATAATATGATAATAAACATCGGTATTTTTGGTTAGATTAAAAGAACCTAATTTTTTTTTTAGACATGCAATTTTTAAATGCTAATATGGGGTAATTTTTTTTTTTTACTTTTTATAAGACCTTTTTGGAAACTTCAAAGAACGTTGAAGCATATTGAGAGACATAAAATGAAAATTGTTGTATGAAAAGATTTAACTTTCAAGCTTAATTTTGAGACTTTCTGAATTAAATTATAAATTAAAGAGTTATCCTTACTGGCTGAGGATAGAAGTCCCTTAACCCCAAGGTATTTATGAAACTGAACACTAATTTCTTGTGAATATTGAAAACTTGTCTTGTTCTTAAGAAAAAGCATTTCACTTATATTTTTGTGATGCACTGACATTTTTTACGAAGTTTCATGAGTTCATTAAAATAATGAACTCCGTCATATGAAAATCTCTTCAAAAATATTAATGAAACTAGAGCAAAGCTCGTTGACCAGAAGTGACGTCAACAAAAGGAAGCAATGAGCTAAGTCGTCTCCAGTCACTTTATAATTTCAATTTTGCATCAAAACCTTAAAAAATAAGTTATTTTTGGCTACTTTCGGTTTGACCGGAAGTGATGTCGACGGTTGGAAAATTAAGTTTTATGCTTCCAGTGACATATGTTACCCCAAAACTTGTCAAGAACAGCAATAATATGTATTTTCTGACGACTTCCGATTTGTCTGGAAGTGATGTCGCCGGACGCATTTTGACGACTTCAATAGATTAAGCTTGACATTTTGATCCACTTTGCTTCTTGAGCGTATGACAAAATCTCAATACTTTTTTAGATATCTGGAAAAAAACTTTTGGCCCCTCTAGATCCCTTAATTTAGGGGTCAGTCCTTTTTTCGAAATATCATTCAAAAGATCTTGTTATTCTGCACAAATTTTGTTCTATATGTTTTAACAAAATATTTTTAGTTTAGAAGATAAAAAGCAAAATATGTGTAAATTTTCGCTCTTTTAGGTGTTCTAATTTTTGACCCCTATATAGCACCATTTTGAATAGAGAAATCGAAAAACAAAAACCGCTATGCACAACTTCAATTCTTCTATTGTGTAAAATCAGTAAAATTTCTGCTCCAGCTTTTGCCATCTCCGAGCCTTTGTCTGGAAATGAAAGCCTATTAATTTTGATTTAAAGGAAAATAACTCAAAACCGGAAGTGAAATTTTGGAATGCTTGACAAAATTCTGATAGAGGTTGGCAACGTCTATAAACTCTGAAAATTTGAGCAAAATCCATTGAGAAATGAGTGAAATATGAGGCCTCAAAGTTGGTGTCTAGGAAAAGGAAAAAAAAAAAAGAATAAGAACTAGAGCAAAGCTCGTTGCAAAGCAACGAGTAGGTCTTCCGTCCTGTTTGACCGGAAGTAACTTTCATTTTTAAAAAAAATGACTAAATACAACCAAAAACTGTTTAAATCCTCCAAATCTATGTTAACTAATGCAAAAATAAGCCATTTTTCCCACTTGACCGGAAGTGACGACGAAGGACGTAAAGTTGAATTTTATGCTCCCAATGACGGATGTTACCCAAAAACTTGTCAAGAACGGCAAAAATACGGGTTTCCTGACTACTTCCGGTTTGGCCGGAAGTGACGACGCCGGGCGTATTTTGACATTTTGAATAGATTAAGCTTGACATTTTGAACAACTTTGCTTCTTTAATGTATTACAAATTCTCACTACTTTTTGAGATATAAAGGAAAAACTTTCGGCCCCTCTAGACCCCTGATTTTAGGGGCCAGCCCTTTTTCCGACATATCATTTGAAAGATCTTCTAACTTTGCAAAAATTATGTTCTATATACTTTAACAAAATATTTTTAGTTTAAAAGATAAAAAGCAAAATATGAGTAATTTTTGATTCTTGAAAGCGTTCTAATTTTTGATTCCTATATAGCGCCATTTTGAATAGAGAAATCGAAAAACAAAAACCGATGTGCACAACTTCAATCCCTCTTCTATCTAAAATCAGTAGAATTTTTGCTCCAGCTTTAGCCGTAACTGAGTCTTTGTCTGGGAAACGAAAGCCTATAAATTTTCGTTTAAAGGGAAATAACTCAAAACTGGAAGTGACTTTTTGAAATTTTAGACAGCATTCTGATAGAATTTATTAACGTCTATAACCTCTAAAAATTTGAGCAAAATCCGTTGGGAAATGAGTGAGATATGAGGCCTCAAAGTTGCGGTCTAGGAAGTAGAAGAAAAAAAAAGAATAATAATCTTTACCAACAGAATCAGTAGAAGGTCTTCCGTTGGAAACGGAAGACCTTAATAATCTTAATCATCAGAATCAGTAGAAGGTCTTCCGTTGGAAACGGAAGACCTTAATCATAAACTTAAACGTTTGCGAATCTCGCGCGTCAAAAGTTATATGTAACGTAAAACATATCTGTTTATCAGTGGATTATGCCATTAAAATGTTAAACATCTAATATCATTTTACAAGTTTAAAACATTGAAACTCAATACACTGTTATATTTACCTGTGGCAATTCAGATAATTGATTTTTTCAAGTACATTTGGAAATTTTAATGAAAATAATAAATTGTCTTTTTAAGGAATTAAATTAAGAAATATAATGCAATCGTTATGGTTGACTTCGCCAAAATAAGTTTTGTTAAGTTTGTTGATAAATTTGTCCTATTAAAATTGATTCAATTATGATTTTATGTGAAATTTCAGAATATTGAATATAAAGATCTGAAAACAAAAGATTGTAATTTGGAAAGTTTAAAGAACTTAATGTTGGGTAAATATAGATAATGATTTACACCATGTGGAAATCAACAGTACTATTATTCCTCATTTACGTTGACAAAGTAGCACTTGGTAAGTACATATGAATTTATAGGATGATTTTTAATTCTGACTTTTATAATCATTAAAGGATTTTCAATTCTAATTTATACAATTATATTTCCTAAATAGTCTCGAATTATAATTTAAAATCTACATAAATTGAAATTATTACATTGAAATCTCGTTCAGAAATATTATTAAAAAAATGTATTTAAATTTGTCAATCTTAATCCATCAAGTTAAAATTTAAATATAATTGAAATTATTTGTGGCGTGCATCTCTAGTTTACTTCTTCTTCACTACTCTTTAACAGATTGTGGAGACACTGCTGCTGATATTGTTTTTATTCTGGATTCCAGTGGGAGTGTTGGCTTAGGCAATTTCGAAAAGACTAAGGAATTTTTCAAGGCGATGGTAGATGGATTTCAAATTGGTCCCAAAACTGTTAGAATAGGTGCTGTGCCATTCAGTACTCTTGTGCACAATACATTTCAACTTACGTCATTTTATTCGAAATCTGCTCTCAAGTCTCGTATTTCTAACATCCCTTATGTGAGTGGTGGTACAAACACTGCTGATGCTATCGAGTACGCTCGAACTACAAGCTTTGGGTCGTTTGGCAGAAACGAAAGTCCTAAAATAGCGGTTATCATTACTGACGGTAAGTCGAATAACAAGGCTCTGACATTGTCGGAAGCCCAACTTTTACGCAACGATGGCGTCATAATCTTCTCTGTCGGTGTCGGTGACGGTGTGGATGCGTCTGAACTTCAGGGAATGGCTACGAAAGCTAGTTATGTGTTTGATGTGTCTACTTTCAGTGCTTTGAACTCAATTAGAGATAAACTAGCACGAACAACATGTGAAGGTAACTTTTTTCACATATATTCAATTGATCTTTATATATGTAATTTTGAATTATAATGCTTATGATAATTTTAATTTTTTACAACTTGTAAAAGGTGAAGATAATGAACAGTGATCAAACTAAAAAAAATTATGAACAATACAAATATGTGACGAGGACACAAAACAAGGACCCCTGCAATTCCAGAGTTGAGATCAGGCCAGGTGTCTAGGAGGAGTAAGCATCCCCTGTTGACCAGTGTGAGGGTGTGGGTTATACACCCTGATGAACTTACAAATATCAAAAGAAGAACTTCAAAATCTTAACAAAATTTAATAACAAAATTAACGAACAAAATAAACAGAAATTTTAACAAAGAAAATTAACCGAAAAATGTACAAAAATAAAATAAACTGAAAATGTCTTTGTTAATTGGTCCTGGTCCATGTCAGTCAGTGCGCATGCCCCTTGGTATGAATTGGTCCCGTTTGACCTGGTGCTTCCGAAAGTGCGGAAATCCTTTGAGAACCGATTTTTCCAGTTTCCTTTTAGTATGGCTGCACGGAACAATGTTTATTGAAAAAGGGCTGCGTGGCACACTGGGTTCCTCTCGGGTTCCGGAGACAATGGTCCGACGCCAGGCTCAACACTTTGAAATGTATTTCAATTGAAACTAAATATTCAGAATTATTTCCAAATTCACATTATGAATAATTCACAAACTTTCACAATGTGTCGTTCATATAATGACTTTAAAGCAGATAATGAAATGTTTAACGTGGGTCACCGCCCGATGATATAACTCACAGAACTGGTTTTAGAGATGTTTCGTATGGGCCGCAACAGTTCGCTCACACGCTACGTTCTCTGTCACACACCATAACATGGAAAATGGCTACTCTCTAACAAAGAATTTCAGTACCCGACAGTTGACATACTCTGTAACATTCTGTAGAGAGACTTTAAGGCATGAAAATAAGGCACAAGACCTATGTGGTTTTCTATGGACAGGCCCCCTGGTAGCACTAGACGAACACGCCTATCGGCTGATGTTTTTCCTGGGTACTACCCAAAGCACGCTTTAACAATACTATTTAAAGTAAAACGAGGGGCTCCCCACAGGGCTGCTATGTTACTACGGTAACTAAAGGAATTTAGGGGCTCCCCACAGGATTATTAAACAAAATACCAGAAGAGTGAACCAAGGGGATTTATTTACAATATAATGAAGAATTTCAGTTTGTTACAACCAGTAACACCTGCCTTGAGACCTATGCATTGATCGGGTAGATGGAACTAGTCAATTCAGTAGAAATCAAAGACCTAACAATTGTCATGAAAGTCATCCTAAATACGACCCAATGATGGCTTAGAATATTAAACGTAATTCAAAAAATACTTTTGCAAAGTCCATATAATCAACCAAGAGTTGGGAATAAAACATTGTGTTTATCATTCTGTATCAGCATTGTTTTACCTTACTATATCTGCATTTTAAACATATCCTCTACACTTCTCTGATAAGTTTCTTTCTTAAGTAGTTTGTTTTCATCTTGAACTTGTATATTTCTGAAATAAAATTATTTTATAAGTAGTCAATTTCTACCCAGCTTGATTAATCCATGATATCACTAAAACCGTTCTAATTTATTAATTTGCCTTTATATTTCTTTGTTAGTAATTTCCTGTGGTCATCCCGGTGTTATGATAAATGGTTTACTTCATGGGAATGACTTTTCTCAGGGTAAAAATGTGACCTACAGCTGTAAGTCTGGCTATAAACTTGTGGGCAATCAGCAGAGGACGTGCCAAAGCAATAAAATTTGGTCTGGAAGTCTACCATCATGCATCTGTGAGTGTAACAATTTTGAATAGAAGAAAACGAATGAAAATTAAGTCCTTGTATTGAAAATTGCAAATTATTTCAAATTTTTTAGTGATTTAATTTGTCAAATAAGCAGTATTACTTTAACTATAGAATAGAATAGAATATATTTATTATTTCAGATCAGGGCCCTTGTGGGCATATTACATACATTATTATTAAACGGAGCATACATGTATAATAGTTATTAACAAAATGTGATGCAATAATATATTATTAGTCCCCTAATTTAAGGTGAAAGCGGAGGAAACCATAGGTTTCCTCTGATTCTATTCATTCGTCTGTGTGTCTGTCCCTTTGTATGCTTCTCAGTCTGTCCCACTTTTGGTTATCCACACTTGATTCCTAAACGCTTGCAAATATTGAGCTAACTTTTGGTATGAGCGTGTATCTTGATGAGTTACAGATCAAGTTTGCATTAATTTTTTTCTTTCTGTGTCCTTGTTTTTGATCAAGTTTGATTTTGTAACATAAATTTGTTCTTTTACCAAATAAAATGAGCTGTTCAGATCAAAGCATGTATGTCTAATGATACTCAAACACGTCTTTGTAAGATTTCGAAGAAATTTCATTCATATACGAGTCATTATCGAAACGTAGACATATTGGGGACACTTTTTCATATGCAGGGTCTTATAAAATGACAAAGAACAAAGGAGAACCCGGAAGGGGACATGTATTGCTTATGTGATATTCTCAGAATGCTTGTTTGATTTAATTCCCGCTACAAAGCTAACCTTTTCACTGTAGCTTTAAATTCAAAAGGAGATGTATAACATCCTTCAAAGAACCTGAAATATACGCCGCTGTATCAATGAGAATTAAAACAAAAAAAAAAAAAACAAACCCAAAACTGATGTACATGATACCTTTTACAAAACGTCAAATTTTATTAAATAATAAAGGATTAAGATAAAAATGTATCAATCTTTGCATTAACAGACGTAAATACGTGCAATAGTAATCCATGTCAAAATGGCGGAAGTTGTATTGACGGTGAGAATAAATACACCTGTAACTGTATCCAAGGTTACACAGGTGTTCACTGTGAAAAAGGTTGGTAGTTTATAACAACAACAGTACTTCAAGATTAGAATTTTTTGTAAAATGATAGGTTAAAAATGGTTCATTCCATTTTATATCATGTACTATGAGCATTATTAATTAGATTACGAATCTCAAAATGGTAATTTTTCCAAAGAAAACATACTTGTACAATATATGATATTATTTTTCCTTATCATTTTTATCATATTTCACTATAATTTAAGATATCCAGCCACCGATTGTTAAGAGCTGCCCGTCTAATATACGAAATACATCATCCTCACGGTTCATCAACATCTCGTGGCCAGCACCTACCTTTTACGACCCATTTGGTCACAATGTAACTGTTAAGACTAATTACCCGAACCACGGATCCAACTTTTTCTGGGGAGACTACACGGCTCAATATACAGCTCTAAAACCTTTCAACGGACTTAGTAGCTATTGTGTCTTTAATATTACAACAAGACGTGAGTTTGTTAATTGAAATCACAAACGGCTCTTACGTCTATTAAGCACACTAGTTTTGCAGGGCTCGAAATCAACATAAGAGATCAACGATATAAAGAATCATAAAGAGGGAAAATTTGAGAGTGTGAATACGAGGGTTGATCCAAAAGTAATGTCACAACTTCAAGAAAATTGCTACTAGTCGACGTACACCAACAAAAGTAGAAATATGGAAGCTTTATTTATTTCAAATCAGACCTGGAAATTTTAATTCAAAGTAAATAATATAATAATCATATACATTGTGAATTTGGTAGTCGCTGCATCTAAATAATGTCATGTTATGGATACGTGCTGTCATACTTAAAACGTTTCCAAATAAATTTATTTGAGATTTCCGAATATGTTCACAAATTTCTAATCTTAAATGAATTCTTGGTAGCCATTGTGCTTTTACTCTTCATAACAAAGTCCTTTGTCAAAATTCCTTGAACACTATAATAAGACAGTGTCCATATCTATTTACATAACAGATACACGAATGTCTTTTGACAACATCAGACACCATGTTAAATTCCGACCCCTCTCTTTCAGTCTTCCTGTCTTCTGTGATAATTCAATGACGTAGTACACTTCCTAAAATCGCTGAAATCATCTATTTATAAACAAGACTCTTCTTTATTATTTTTTTTATATGGTTAGTCTTATCAGTCAGTGTAACTGTCCATACGAGTATTTTCCTCATCTTGAAGTAAAAATGCAAAATGCATAACATCTCGTTACGGCCCCTAACCCCTATTTTTACACTTCCTTTGTTCAATGCATCAGAGTCAAACACATTTCTTTTAAATAAAAAATTACAATGGCGTCATTTAATCTTAACTGATCATTAGAAAAACATATATGTAAGTTTATTTTGTGTATTAAATTTTTTGGGCGATCAGACACGCTTTAAATATTTTTTATTGTGTTTGTCTTTCTAATCCTAAAAAAAAATCTTTAAAATGTGACTTTTATAAGTGACGCGGCGACCCTCCATATGCTTGATGTTTTAAACATCTATAAAATTAATGTAATTTAACATTTTAAAACAAATTTCTCGATGTTAATTAGATTGATAAAAGTCAATATGATGGTATATTTTATTTGATAATTTGACACCCAATGCAACATATATGGACTGTGGCAACGCACTTTGAAAAAATTACGCACTTTGAAAAAATTTTTCAAAGTGCGTTAATTTTTGGGACCAGGCTAACGCACTTTGAAAAAAAAAATTTTTTTTCAAAGTGCGTTAATATCGACCATATTAACGCACTTTGAAAAAAAATTCTGCATGGCTTAGTCAATATTCCTACAAATCTCAGGTATGATAAATTATCATTTGAACCTGATTTGATACTTTTTGTCCCCCGCTTGAAAAGTGGGGGATATTAATTTGGGTCTATCTGTCCGTCCTTCCGTCTAGCTGTCCGTCCATCCGTCTCTCTGCAACGCTTTCGTTTCCACACGATATCTCGACAACCCTTTGAGCTTTTGCAATGAAATTTAACATAACAGAATCCTTGTGGCCTTAGGAAGACCCCTTTTGAATTTGGGGTCAAAAGGTATTCAAGGGCGTAAAGAACTACGAAGGATAGTATTAGTCTTCCGCCTATCTCTAAGTCAATTCTCAAAAGTTAACATATTGGAATGATTCTCAAAATTTTTATAGATATTCATATGAATTTTCACAAAACTTTACTTATTTGGGATACCAAAGAGAGATAACTCTATAATTTTGGCAAAACCTGTGTTTTTCACTATAGAAATCAACGGAAAACTGAAAATATTTTTAAAACATCTACCCCCCCCCCCCCGAAACAAAAATTCCTTATTTACAGGTTATATGGACTGTCATTTTACAAATTTATGCCAAAGCTTTTCGTCTTTTTGTGTATTTCAGGGGGGGGGGGGCATATGTTTATAGACAAAACACGAAAAAAATGCTTATTTTTCACCAATTTTAAAGCTGTTTAAAACTAAATAATTGTATTTTATTAATTTATATATGCTTTATTTATTTGCGTAAAACATGAGAAAAGATATTAGATACATGTTATCATATATATGATTATTTCAAAATATGGCGATTCTTGAAAGTTCATCACTATATCCCATCATACGTTGCGAGGGGATAATACTGTTGTCTATTTCTAAAATATAAGTCTAATTCCTTTTGTTTCATGAAAATTTTTTCAAAGTGCGTTAAATGTTTACATGGTGTAAAATTATGATGTACAGGCACTTTGAAAAAATTTTTCAAAGTGCGTTGATATGGTCCCAAATTCAACGCACTTTGAAAAAATTTTTCAAAGTGCGTTAACCTGGTCCCAAAAATTAACGCACTTTGAAAAATTTTTTCAAAGTGCGTAATTTTTCAAAGTGCGTTGTAACAATGGACACTGTGACATTACTTTTGAATCAACCATCGTATAAGTATTGACGTCATATTTTTGGATGTCATCGGTCCTATATCACACCTGGCCATACGTTTGCCGACAAATTATCATACAGCGCTGACGCACGGTTTTTGATTTGTCGGCACGGTCAGGTGAGGTATAGGACCGACGACATTCAAAATATTAATTCAATGCCTAAACGTTACTTTTACTACAGTTGTTTATTTTGAAAAGCTTCATGAGAGATGAAAAGGCCTTAATCTTAACTGAAGTTTTTTTTTTTGTTTTTCTTCTTTATTTTAAGCATTTATATACAATTGTAAGCCTTCGGATTAAAATGAAATTTGATCTCGTGACGAACCAGAATGAATATTTCGATATGTGTTTAAAATTATACCTTATTACTTATATTTATATTTGTCACTCATTCATATTTTATATTTGCCTGATTATGACTATTAACGTATGAAATGTTTTATTTTTCATAGGAATAATAATTCGAGAAATTAATTGGTGTCGAAACTTATAATGTAAAACATACGAATAAAACTGAAATACTTTTCATACACTTGTCACAGCTAATCCTTGTCCAAATATATCTGCTCCTTTGAACGGTGCTCTGGTCTGTAATGGATGGAAGAGAGAATTTGTACGCGTATGTATTGTATTCTGTCAAACAGGAACCCGACCTAGTCCAGGTCATGACCTCCGGTCAAAGTATTTCTGTGGTGGAAGTGGTCATTGGATGCCTAAAGAACTACCTTCATGTGAAAGTAAGCTTTATGCTAATATCAAGTTTTTTTTCACAAATGATATAAATTGAATTTGTGTTATCAACTATTTTCTGTGTATAAAAATAAATGTCTGGAACATATAGCTATCTAGAATAAACTGAAGATGTCAAACTTGGTGAAGATAATTCCTTACGCTATTCTATCGTAACTTTTCTTAATTATATTAATAGTAAACTCTACTATTACCTGCCTGTGGTGTCTCCAGTATATTTCTTACTGGAGAGCCTCTTCTGAATGCGAACAATTTTTAAACTGAAGCATTCTATTCACTAGCAGAATCTGTTACTGAGATTTCAACAGCTTCGTTTAAAGTCGGCATTTCGTGGTTTCTTTAGTAGCTGTGCGTGTGAACTTATTAGCAAAGACAACCTATCATAGGGTCTTATTTTGACTTATTTGTTTCATATCAAGTGTAAGGCTTATGTTTTTATACTGAATTAACCAAGAAAAATTTCGTCTAGCTAGTCAAAATATAGGTCTGATACCTCCTCCTAGGCACCTGATCCCGCCTCCCTGAATACCCAGGGATTCGTGCTTTATGTGCTCTATACATATTTATCTTATTTATAGATTTAATGATATCTATTACTGTTCGTTCTCTTCACCATTTACACATTTGAAAGACCTTTGTAAATGTTTTAAAGACCTCTATAAAGACCTTGAAAACGTGATTATCCCGCTTCAGACAAATTTGTCGATTACTGATTGGATAAAAGCTAATCACATGACGCCCTGAAATTTTCATTACGTTTTTCCATATTACGTTCCGTCGAGGCGTAATATGAAAATCGAGCACGCGATTCCGTTCGAAGCGTTGTTATTGTAAATAAAATTTTTAAAAGTAATTTCGTGTTACGATATTTTATGTTGATTGTTATTGGATTAAAACTTGATATTTTCATAATGCACAAATATTTCTTTATATCAAAAAAGGTCTTCAGCGGGATAAATTCGTTACACAGTCAGGATACATATCCTTACGGATTCATACAGGGTGTGAAATGGAAATCCGTTTAAGGACCTTTGCAAAGCCCAATACGGATTTCCATTTCACACCCTGTATGAATCCGTATTAGGTCACTTACTGACTGTGTAACTAATAATATATATATTGTTTGTGAAGCAAAGCTTTCAGACATATACAGACAGAACGCTACACATTCTCAATTTACAGTATACAAAAAAAGAACTAAATGACATGCATTTACGAATGAATAATTTAGTAACTGTTATATTTTATACTGATATAGAATCAACCTATAAACCATCTGGGATAGCAGCCTTTTCATTTTTCCAATCTTGTGATGAAAAACATATAAATCGGATGAAGAAAGGATACATATCTTTCCTCAGGAAGACGTCGGCTAAGAATGTTTGCTTAAAGTTTAAGGATCTTTGCAAAGCAGAAAATGTTGATGTTCAGTGTAAAGCATCAAAGAAAGGGTTTCCTTCTTAGTGTATCAGTTCCAAAGAATTTATAACCTTTTTCACTTTTGCAATGTGAAAAAACCTACAAATTTTAAAACTAGATGAAAGACATTGCTTTTGCACTATGTAGGTGTAAAGAAAAATTTTCTAAGGAAAATATTACATTATATACATATGAATACAAAATATTTTATTTTTTTTTTGTATTCCAGCCTATATTTGATTAATATCCAAGAGGAGCACAAATTATTTCTGTATAACCTGGTTTGGTTTGCGAATTATAAAGCGTAAACTGACCAAGACCAGGTTATACTCGAATAATTTGGCCAAGAATTAGAGTAATTCCTTAAATATCATAAATACCTTTAATATAATAAATATGAATAATTTATGGTATCCGAGCAATAACAACCCTTTTATTAATGCATACCAGATATACAATGGCTGAACACTTAGTATTATGTAGACAAAATCTGCATATTTAATATCAATATGTAAGAGCAGATTGTACTAATTTTTAAACTTTGACCTGTCCTTGAAGAGTCGTTTTGAACATATTTTATTGGCAACATGTCAAAGGGATTGGACACAAGTTCAAAAAACTCAGATAGTCCTCCCCCATGCAAGAGAAGAGTTATTCCCCTTTGCTTTTAATAAATAAAAATCAATTTTTTTTAAAATACTTAATGATTGCATAAAACTATTCACCATAGCATGTTTTGATATTCTTAAGTTTAATTTTTTTTTTTAAAACTTTACTTGTTCCAATATACAACAATGTATTCTTCATTAATTAATAACTGCTTAAGTATTTATATGTTTAAAAAAATTTCCTAAAAAGCCTTTTCTAAACAGCTTTGAATTAGTTTCAGAGTATATAATACAGGATGGATATTTATTATTAGAAAATTATGTCCTAATATGTGCTGAAAACCTTAATGGCCACAAAAATTCAAAGACTAAGTATATTTTATATACATCTTAGCAATGTAGTGATCGACATTTCAAAAGTGATATATTTCTTGTACATATTTTGTTGCTGTGTTGTATATTAAAGTCAAAATAGCTTGATAGCGCTTTCTATGTCATAACTAGACTTTTAATAAATATTGCCGTACTTACCTTATCTGATTATTTGTATGTTTTGTTTGTTTGTGAGCATTGTTTTACGTTCCATTCGAGGAATTTTCACTCATATTATTACATGTTTAGAGACGTCAACACATAGTGCGGGATCTTTATCGTATATTTGACTATATCCTAGAAATAAATGATGCAAATGTAGGCCACTAGCAATATGCTGATGCATCATTTTTTTTTCGTTTTTGGCGTTTAAAATCAGCATAAATTTTGCAAACTATGTGCTTGTTGTTTGCTTCTTAATATAATGGTTTGATAGTGTTATAAATGGCATGAGTACTGTTTAATATTATCTGCTCAATACATATTACTTTTTGTAGGTGAGAGAAGTTTCCCATAGCAAAACATGGACTTGCCAATATGTTTACCTATGACGTCACACATAGAAGCAATATCTGGAAACATTTGATAGGACGATATGTAGAATCACATTGCCATAAAACAATATATAGCAACCCATGGACATTATGGGACACACCGTGAGCTCATTGTTCAAAGTACCCTGTTTTTTCAAAATTGACGTAGAAAATTCACAGTCTAAATAACTTATTTATCAATTTATTTGTAAATTATTTGCCTTAAAAAAAGATGTTGGTACAAAGAAAACTTTTTTTCTGATTACAGAGAATTGCTCTTAATTAACAGGGAGGAAAAACATATACACTGTAGATGATAAGGTTATATTTCTGTATAAGTAAGAATGCTTTTTTAATACATCTTGAGATGTATCTGTGTCAGACTGGTCAAAATACTATTTCTTAGTGTTTGAAAATGAACTACTCCAAAACACCTCTCATCTTCTTTTATGATTGCAGGGGATATCTATTATGATAATGAAATTCACACCTGCCACCATATGTTCGAGCGTAATATGTACATACTCTTATTAATTACGCCATGACTGCGAACAAGATTGCAACACCAAATAGTTTAAAAAGAAAACAGATATACTTTTTAATGTTTCATTTTATTAAAATGACGTAATAGTATTTTTTGTTTCTATCCTTGATAGAAAAGTCTTGCTAATGTTTTTTTTTCTTCAAAATCCTAAGAATTTGAAGAAAAACAAACAACATTGAAATTTCAAGAAAACATGTTTTTTTTTTAATTCAATATCCTCAGACGGCCATAGACCGTCTGAGGTTTGAGGAAAAATGAGAACAGGGAAGAACATGTTGCTAAAAAGCTACATTACTGATTAACTATATAAAAAATTACCAAACCTATGCCATCTGCAAGGGTTAAACCACAAAATAAAGAGATAGCAAAGATGTTTATTGAGAAGAATCCAGCGTCTTGGAATCTTTTAATGCTGATGAAGTGAGGACTAAAAGAGCATCGTCACGTGATGTTTTGCTAAAATGTTGAAGTGCTTCTTGAGTGCAAATATAATATCGATATGAAGAGAAAACTTCACGTGTTATGTGTGAAAATGGTGCACACTTTTTATGAAGGTAAAACATTTTTAAACTTTTTCTCTCGTATCATAATTAACAGATGATACATCTCTCATCTCACGTACTCGAAGGAATTAATAAATTGTAGATAAGGAAAAAAGTTTTCTAAGAATAAAAATTGTTATTCATTTATGCTTTGTTTAATTAGATATGAAAAAAGAAATAATTTTATTTAAAAAAAGAAATCAGGAATCCTGCATATTTTGTAGAGTAAATGTGAAAGTTAAAAATATAAGAATAACAAAAAGTATTCAAACTCAATTCCAAAACTTCAAAAAGTCAATTAAATGATACAAATCAGGCGCTGAGCAAACATGCAGATGGAATGTAAAAGTGAGCATCTCCTGCCGTTCGGTTACACCCGCCATGTGCTCCTTGTCATGAATGGGAAATAACTTGAAAATCAGTGTGTAAGTAATGGATAACAATTTGTATGAAAAACATCAGTCAGCATTTGAGTTAATGATTCATTCATTGTGATTAATAATGAGTCATTGTATCGATCATATAACTTACAAATGGAAGAGATTGCTGATATTCTTGTTTTATCAACTTATTTATCAATAACTGACTTCGATTGTGAAATTGTTCAGAAGGTAAACTTTGCTCTTACGTATCCGATTAACTAAGAGAGGTATAAACGCCATTTGCAGATGATAATGATTAATTTCTGCAAAACTAAAGGAGGTGGTGATTGGAAAGTTAAAGTCATAAATTCAAGCATCTTTTTGATGAAATGTGTGTAGATAACCAACAGTATTCAAGCTCAAAAGTCCATAAAACAATACAAATTAGAGCATGATATCAATTTCAGAGTTTGACGATCTGATTTTTATAACAGAGTAATTTTGCAAAAGACCAATGACAAGGTTAGTAAATTAAAGAGTTCCATTTTTATGTGATCAGTTTTCTAGGAGAAGTAAGCATCCCATCTGCCGTCCGCCCTATGTTCTTTGTTAGATAATTATTGTAAACTGTAATCTAAAGCTTACAACAAAAGGTTTTGTAAAAAGAAACTTTACAAGAAGGATATGGAGATAGCAAACAGTATTCAATATCAAAGTCCACAAAACATTACAATATAGGAGCAGAGCAAACACGGACCTCCAAAACGTCAGAAGGGGATCAGGTTCCATAGGTGAGTGAGCATCCCCTACCAACCGGTCACACCCACCGTTTGCTCCTTGTCATGATCGGGAAATAACGGCAAATTCCATCATTAATTCAGTGTATAAATAATGGTCTAAGAATAACAACCGCATTTGACTCATTGATACATTGTATGTGCTGACAAGGTCATTGTATCTACCAAAGAACTTACGAAATGATTACTTTAAACGACACTTCTGATATCTTTGATATCAACTTGCTTATCAATAATTAACCTCGTTTTAGAAATTGTTCATATGTAGAGCAAGCTCCTGCGTATTGAATCAACTGAGATATATACACTCCGTATGCAGGTGATGAAGGTATATTGCTGCATAAGGGAAGTTGACGATAGGAAAGTTAAAGTCATCCCCTTTATCATATAACTTGGTTGTTAGATAACTATTAACGTCTTTTTCAAATAAAATATCCAAGTATGAAACAGATGTGTCAGACTCTGTGGTATCTTTTATCTCAAGCTCACCAGGATATATCGTATCAACGTAGGTATTGAAAATTACCGTTGTTAAATGACAATACATGTACGTCGTCGATATATCGAAATGTCGAGTTGAAGGCCAGATTGAGTGTTTTCTTCTTTTCACGCATAAGATTTTGCACAAATTCTGCTTCAGATGAATATAAAAATAGGTCTGCTAATTACGGAGCTCCATTGGAATTCCGATAGATTGTTTGAATACCTGGTCTCCAAAAACCACATATATATTGTCAACCAGAAACTTAAGCATCGGTCAACTTCATAGTACATGTGTGTGCAATCAGAATGTGTTTTAACAAAATAATTTTGCAAATGACCAATGACCAGGTAAGTAAATTTACGAGTTCCATTTTTATTAAAAAGCAGCTGTCAATGATACTTTAACTTATCGTGGGGAATGATTGTATATAAAGTTGAAAAGTCGCAAGTTTTTAAGCTGTTGATTTTGGTAAAATCTTGTGATTTCAAATTGTTCAAAAGTTCTTTGGAATTTTTGAGTATCCACATCCAAATCACACCATTTCTTGAATATATTGTTGAACAGTACTCCGGAAATTTTTCCTTCACTACTGTTAATATCTTGGTGAGGCGTCACGAAAGAGGCTTGGTTGAACATTTACTAAACCCGTAATGTATGTTTGTTAGGATTTTTATGAAGTTTCGGAATCCAAGGTGTCAATGTCTTCTTTTTCATATCTGGCCCATCGTCTGGCGTAATTTTCAACGGAATCCATAATATTTATGAAATTCCGACGCCAGTTGAAGGATGGGGGTTCCCTATATTTAGGACCTTTTAAAATAAGTGATCTAAGGACTTCATTGTTAACTATATTAACGTCACCTGTAATAACGTGTCCAGCAGGACAATAGTTGTTAAAGGGCAAAGAACATGAACACGATGGAGAATTATGTTTCAGATACTCGGTATTCAGGCCATGTAAAGTTTTTTTGTAATAGAAAAGTTTGGAAACAATGGTCGATGTATATTTGTAGGAAATACTAGGCGTAGTTTTTAACTTGAAATATGGTGGAATATGCATTTTTAATGACATTATGTATCTTTTATACCAAATGATATATATAAAATTTACTGAAGTTCAAGTTATTTCATTAATCATTAATTTCTGCAACATTACAGAGTTTTAAAGATAACCATCATTTCAAAACAACTGATTGTGTTCAGTGAAAGTATCGGAGGATATATCTAAATGGTACTCAAAAAGTGCTCTCCACAATGTTCTTCAAAACTTTCTTCTTGTTTATTTCCATTAGAAAAGTGGTATCTGGTAAGTATGTATGAACATACATGTACGAGGGTGGAAATTTTGGACGACGCAATTTTATACGAAATTTAAAATAAGCACATTATAATATGTAAAAATATTTGTTTTTTATGTGTGAAGTTTTAATTTTAGCAGAAATTTTTCTCATTTAATATCAACATGTTAACACACTAAAGAAGCTAAAACATTACAAAAAAAATACACAATTAATTTCCAATTTCTCTTCCTTAAATTCTTTTTCTAATACTTGACATTTATTTTTTAAGAATTGCTCTCGTTGTTTAATTTCCTTTGTTAAGGTTTTAATTTCTTTTGTTACTTAACTCTGCTTTCACAGGATAAGCAACTCTGGAGCGCCTATGTCTTTCCTTGACGTTCCAACATTTTAAAGATTTTGTTCAGATTTTTGCAGTTAAACCGTATCTTCACAGAATATCCTCATCCGATACAGAATCTCTGTCAGTCAAATACTGCCTGTACTACGTGTACACACATGCACAACTAGCTTGTGCCATTAAACAAATATTATTTTCCTGAAATTGCAAATTAAATTAAAATTAAATTTCTTTTCAACAAGGCAATTTATTAAGCCATAATTTTGAATACGAATCGATGTATTTATTATTAATTTGAATTTCTAGGTTGTTTTTCGTTTTTGCTCCATTTTACAGAAAATATGACTACAGACATTATTTAGTGAATTGTCTATAACTTACTAAATTTTGACCTGCTCCGCGGTGCGATTTTTGCATGTCTAAAATCTGAATAAGTTTTGAATAAATCGTAATATTTTGAAAAAAAATTTATACAAATCATTTGGATTTTTTGTAAAAATATTTCTACCAAATTTGGTTAACATATGACGTCAAATAAAAAAGATATGACAGTTGTCCACGAACTTTTCGAACAACCCTCGTAAATAATGAATAAAGATTTCCTTTATTGGTTGATGATTCAAAATATTCTCCTAATAATTCATTCGCAGTTTCAAACAAGTAGTGTCAAACGTAGTATCAAAATTTAATACAAACGAATAGTGATTATTATAATGAGTTTTTTTATATTTAACGAAAAGTTTTTTTTTTTAAATTTCCTGTTTGTTACTCCATATTTAAACGATTTAAAGGTATGATGTTTATGTACATGTTTATCTTAATTTTTGCAGCCTCTTAAATTTCATGTTCTTCATTTTTTTTATCATTTACCCATAGATTGTGGCGACACTGCTGCTGATATTGTTTTCATTCTGGACTCCAGTGGGAGTGTTGGGTTAGGCAATTTCGAAAAGACTAAGGAATTTTTCAAGGCAATGGTAGATGGATTTCAAATTGGATCTAAAGCTGTGAGAATAGGCGCTGTGCCCTTCAGTACGTCTGTTCACAACTCATTTCATCTTACATCATTCTATTCTAAACCTACTTTAAAATCTCGTATCTCTAGCATCCCCTATGACAGTGGTTCTACAAATACTGCCATTGCCATCCGGTATGCGAGAACGACGAGCTTTGGGGCATATGGCAGGAACAATGTTCCCAAACTAGCAGTTATCATAACCGACGGACAATCTGACGACAAATCTAGCACTTTGTCAGAAGCACAACTATTACGTAACAATGGCGTCATCATCTTCTCTGTCGGTGTCGGTGATGGTGTTGATGAGTCTGAACTTCAGGGAATGGCTACAAAAGCGAGTTATGTGTTTGATGTGTCTACGTTTAGTGCTTTGAACTCAATTCGAGATAAACTCGCAAGAACAACTTGTGACGGTAATCATCATATTTATCATTTCTTTCCTATAAACTTTAATTTTGTTTTTCATCTTGCCTTTCAACGGTGTCAAAAAATACTTCAAAAGTGTAATGTAAGAAAATAAAGAAATATTTTGAGAAATGCTAATCATACTATTTCAAATCCGATATACTCCATTCAGTACTGTATACTTTTTTGACAGTCATTTCCTGTGGTCACCCCGGTATTCCTGTCAATGGTCAGCTTCATGGGAGTGACTTTTCCCAGGGTAAATCTGTGACCTACAGCTGTAAGACGGGGTATAAACTCGTTGGCTATCAACAGAGGACGTGTCAAAGGGATAAAAGTTGGTCCGGAGGACTGCCAGCGTGCATCTGTAAGAATTCTTACTCAAACGTATTAAAAAAAAAACATTTTTAGTCACGGAATTTATTTTGTTATTTTGTTCATCTTGTAGTTTTAATTTAGTATTTGTTTCAGTATTTAACATTTATTTTAATTCCCCTCGCAAAGTTGAATTTTTTGTACTTGCTTAATTAAATAAGAGAACATCATATACCCACAAGCGATGCTGTAACAATCAGAGGACATCACGAAATGTTCATTATATATTTCATAAACATCCCAATTCTACAGAATGATTCAAATTTTAATCAACATTTTGCTTTCAATTATTATTACTCCATTTGCACCATCAACCTTCATCTTTTCAGTTGTGAACACGTGCAATAGTGATCCCTGTCAAAATGGCGGAAGTTGTATTGACGGCGAGAATAGATACACCTGTAATTGTATTCAAGGTTATACAGGGGTTCACTGTGAAAAAGGTTTGTTTCTCTCTCATTCATGGCATTTCATGTATCAATAATAGAAGAAAAGCTTTTGTAAGAAGTTGCCCTTTCTATGTTGCTAAACAGTTTATGAATCCTCCAAGAGTATGTGTGGAGATTGTTTAATTAACAATGTGTATTTGAAAAATGAAAATAATGTTCTAGTAACTAGTACCATTTATATATTTACTCTTGTTTTAGATATCCAGCCACCGGTCATCAGGTTTTGCCCGTCTAATATTCGACAACTTTCTTCATCACGATTCGTCAACGTTACGTGGCGGCCACCTGACTTCTACGACCCATTTGGTCACGATGTCGAAGTTACCACTAACTACCCGTATCACGGGTCTATCTTTCGCTGGGGATACTATACTGCTCGATATACAGCTCTGAAACCATTCAACGGCCTCAGGGCCAACTGCACCTTCAACATTTTTGTTGGGCGTAAGTTTTGATTTTTTTTTTAGAATGGTATACTAAGTGGTATATGGCATACTATATAATTAAAGAAATACTTTATTCGATATTTTTTGATACCCGGTAAATAAGAATTATCTTTTGTATAATTCAGATACAACAAATACAGTGTCTAATATCTTTTTATAAAAGCATTGCAAATTTATTGGAACTTAATTTGCAAAATCCATATAAGTGCTACATCGGATAAATAAATGTAGATAATAAAGAATATAAAAAATATCATTGGTTCATTAATCACAGCTCTATCCTGTCCGAAGCTGGAAGTTCCGCTGAACGGTGCTCTGGTCTGTAATGGATGGATTATAGAATTCGCTCGTCTGTGTGTCGTATTCTGTCAACAGGGAACACGACTAAGTCATGGACATGACATACGGTCAAAATATTTCTGTGGTGGAAGTGGAAATTGGCTTCCCAATAGAAAACTCCCGTCCTGCGAGAGTATGTATCTTTACCTAAGTAGAATTTTTTCAGTCGCATCTTTAATATGTATATTGGTCAGTTTTGAAATTCCAGCATTTTGGGATGATCAAAAAGTATTATTTAAAAAAAAAACACATTATCTATCTTTAATGATAAGAAAAAACGTCAAGAGTACATTTGAGAAATTGTATTTATTATATCCATATGTTGCATACTTCAAAATTTCAAGGAACTTTTGGAAATTTGAAATAACATACAATAACAATTCAATGTGGCCCATTGGCCTCTTGTTTCTTGTAAGATAAATAAAATATAACTAGATAATTTAGAGACATCAACAGCCTCTTTTAAAGTCAGCATTTTGTAAAATCACTGGTTGTTATAGTAACCATGCAAGTTGTATTTTGACAGACTTGTTTTACATAAAATGCAATGCTATTGTTGTATAATTAATTTGACTACTTACTTTTCTGCTCACTGACAAAATTGTATATATTTGACTTGCAGCGTGTTAATCTGTTCACTAGGGAATGCTTACTGCTTTTTGTTACCTATCTAACCCCTAGAATTTCCTGAATATGCCCTGTTAAAAGTTTACACATTCTTTGTAGATTTTTAAATAGATCTATCACTGTTTGTTTTCTGCACCTGATTCTGTTTAAAAAGTATAACATTGTAACATTTTATATTTATACGCAGTTAAATAATTTTACTGCCATATTTTTTAGGATCAACGATGGAACCATCTAGAGATGATGATTTATATTATTTCAAGACTTGTGACAGAAAACACGAAAATCAGATGAAGAATGAGTATATCAAGATTCTCCAGAAGTCTATGTTTAGGAGTCTTTGCTTTAAGTTTAAGGACCTCTGCATACCAGAAAATGTTGATGTTCAATGCGGATGAAGAGATTATGCGAAGCTGGACATTTTCGCAGAAAACACATCCTCGAATACTTGACTCATTTGTAAGATCCGTTAGTATCATTGCCTTTCTTTCCGTTAAGGTCTTATTTCTTAAGATATGAAACTTGAGATTTTTTTTTAAATTTAAGCTTTCAGTTATCCATTGAAATTTTCATTGGCAAAAATGATATTATTTCTGAATTTAGTCACAGAATCAAGAAACCTGGAAAAAATTGTGATATGGGTTCCATAACATATCTTTAGAACATTCAAACATTTTTTTTCAAACAAGAAAAAATTAGAATTAAATTTGCATTTCTTCTACTGAATGTTATAGCTTGCATGAGGCATTAGTTTTGAATTTGTATTTGCCCATAATTGTATATAACAACAAATACATGATAAAGAAGTTTTTAAGTCCAAAATGAACCGAAGATTCGTGATAAATCCCGCCTGATAAGTAAATTCAATAATTTTTTTTTAAATTTCTTTCTCGGAAAAAAATTCATGTACTAGTATATATATCAATATAACTACGTATTTATTTTTTCATATTAAGGTAACATTTCTATTTCATTTTATGTAATTGATTGTTAATGACTTGCTTTAATTTGTATCTATAATCATATTTCTTAAATCGATGATACTCACAGCATTAAAATCAAATAATAAAGATACTGAAAACTATGTAAGGAAGGATATTGAAATAACGAACAGTATTCAATCTCGAAGTCAATAAAACAAAACAAAATAAGAGCAGATCAAACACGGACCTCCAAAACATCAGAAGTGGGATCAGGTGCCATGGAGGAGTGAGCATTCCCTGCTGACCGGTCACACCCGCTGTGTGCTACTTGTCATGATTAGGAAATAACGGGAAAATTTGTCGTCAATTCAGTGTATAAGTAATGGACTAACAATTGGTATGAAAAAAGTCAGTCAGCATTAGACTCAATGATAATTTGTATTTGCTGACAAGGTCATTGTATGGACCATAGAACTTATGAAATGATGGCTTTAAACGAGACTGATGATATTTTTGTTTCATCAACTTGCTTGTTATTAATTTATCTCGTTTTAGAAATTGTTCATAGTAGAGCATGCTCTTGAGTATCGAATCAACTGAGATATATACACTCCGTATGCAGGTGATGAAGGTATATTGCTGCATAAGTAAGGGACGTTGACATAGAAAAGTTAAAGTCATCACGTTTATCATATAACTTGGTTGTTAGATGACCATTAATGTCTTTTTCAAGTAAAATATCCAAGTATGAAACAGATGTGTCAGACTTTGTCATGACTTTAATCTCAAGCTCTCCTGGATATGTCGTATCGACGTAGGAATGGAAATTACCATTGACAATTGACAAAACGTCATCGATATATCTGAACGTCGAGTTTAAAGGTACAGCAAGTCTTTTCTTCTTTTCACGCATGGGATTTTGCATAAATTCTGCTTCATATGAATACAAAAATAGGTCTGCTAATAACGGAGCGCCATTTGTACCCATGGGAATTCCAATGGATTGGACGACCTGGTCTCCAAAATCCACATAGATATTGTCAATCAGAAACTCAAGCATCTTCTAGATGTCAACTTCAGAGTACTTGTTTGTGCAATCAAAATATGTTTTAACAAAATAATTTTGCAAATGACCAATGACCAGGTAAGTAAATTTACGAGTTCCATTTTTATTGAAGAAGCATCTATCAATGATATCAAAAAGCTTGGATTTTAATTTGTCATTGGGAGTTGTTGTGTATAAAGTTGAAAAGTCATACGTTTTTAAGCTGTTGATTTTTGTAAAATCTTGTAATTTCAAATTGTCTAAAAGTTCTTAAGAATTTTTTGGTATCCATATCTGATTCTTACTACTTCTCGAATATATAGATGCAAAGTACTCTTGAAGTTTTTCCTCCACTACTGTCAATATCTTAGTGAGGAGTAACGAAAGAGGCTTGGTTGAACATTTACTGCAACAATTCAAACATGTATGTGTAAAAATAGGATGTTATTACACAAATTATGCTGATAAGACGATAAAATATATCAACAATATACAAGACAATATACAAGTTATAACACAACTTGTGTAGAGACATTAACGTTTGCCTAAAATATTGAAAAATTATATAAAAAATTAACTGTGTGTTTTCCTTTATTTCATTCTCTTTTAGTAAAATGCAAATATATACAAAAATTCATGTTTACAATATTTAAATTGAGTAATAATGTGTATAGATTGACTGTTATGTTTACTTTTTATAATACAAGTTGTTTTATTTTATAAAAAGAAAACAGTATCATTTTCATGAAAGTTTCAAAGGAGCAGAATACACTTGTTTCATTAGTTATTGAAATGATATTTTTTAAAAATTTATTTTGCGCATCTTTGAAAGAAATTAATGTACACTAAGAGAAAAAAATTATCAATCAACACTGTTTGTTTTAACGAGATGAGGAGAGAGTGAACTTTTAACAAAATATTGATCTTTTAACTCATTGGGGCATCATTTTCGTCCATTTTACAGAACGCCACAACCTCTACCTTTTCCTCACCAAGATTAAAGTCATATAGCGGATTGTCTGTCTTCTTCAAGCGGTCAGCAACTTTGTCGAATCTGATTCAAAGACATAATAAATTACATATTTACAATGTTTCTGATCTCTCGAACTAAACAATACTCAAACAGATTTAAAATAACTGTGCAGATAGCTATTTACTCACTTTAACTCCACTCTCTTGAACTTGAAGAAAAGGAAAATGACAACAAGAACAATGGGTATCAGGATTCCAAGGGTAACACCCAGTATGATTCCGGCATCCGAGTCTGAAACATAAGTAAACACTGTTAATACACCAGGAACTCAGAAATGTGTATTGTTCCTGCTCCATTAATTACAAGAAGCCCATGGGCCAGATTTTTTTTCTCTAAATATTCCATTGTAAAAAATTCCCCTCCCTACCCTTTGGAATCATAATTTGAAAAAATGAAAATCTACACAATCTAACAATGCTTCCATATCAATGAAGGATATGGAGATAACGAACAATATTTAATATCAAATTCCTTAAAATAATAAAAATAAAAGCAGAGCAAAGACGGACCTCCAAAACATCAGAGGTGGGATCAGATGCAATGGAGGAGTGAAGAATACCTTGCCCACAGGTCACACCCGCCGTGTGCAGCGCTCCTTGCCACAATCGGGAAATAATGGAAAATCCGTCGTCAGTCCAGTGTTTAAATAATGGACTAACAATTAGTATATTAATATGACTTAACACGGCTTTTTTGGTTCCATAGAAGAGGGTTTTCCTATATATTCCTAAAACAAATTTAATTGTCTATCGTGGACCCGCCTCGAACGGGGCGGGGTATCGTTAATTGAGTTCAGTGCTCATAGTAACTCTAGTTTTTGGATTTTGTCAGTAAAGCATGGGTTTCAATATCTTAACACAGTAAGGTGCTATTATACGACAGATGACATCCAAGAATAAGAAATGCTTAATTGAATTAAAGTACTTAACGTGTTCACACTATTTAATTGTACCTTTAGAATAAAAATAATAAATATTACTTACCGTCAACGGTCTTCTCAACATGCACTTCAGTCAGAACTATAAGTTTAAAATTATAGAATTTAGAAAAGAAAAACTAACTGGACTTGGACTAACATAAGTGATGAAAAATCACAATAATTAGAAACTTTCACAGAATATTTTTTACTTTTATAACCTCTTATTTTACCTCTTGATCTGTTACACTTATGGGATATAGCCAAAACATGGACCTCGCATTTATAACCATTTGGGAGGCAGTGGTGGATTTAAGTGAGCGAATAACTCACAGAAACATTAGTGAAGATATTTTACCAAATTTGGCAACATCCCATATGGCCAACGAACTTTTTTTTGTATTTCATAAATTCATTTTAAATTTGAATTTAAAATTTAATGAAAATTAACTATGGTTTTAATTTTTTTTAATTATAAATGTATAAAATAACAAACTGGTTCCAATGATGTTTATTTTTATATTATTGGTTCTTATCAATTGCTTTTTAAAATAACTTCGTTTAACCAACTATAAACAGTAATTTATTCATCCAAATTTTCATATAAAACTATCTATTTTGTTTTTTTAAATAAAGCTTTAAAATTTTGCGCTAATTTGAGCTCTAAAAATATTGGAAAATTTGAAATCTTATTTCACATCAACAGGACATTTTAAATCATATCCTCAAAATGATGTTCTGCTTATAATGAATAAATATGAGTTTGGGAATAAAGGTACAGAAATCAAAGAACTTTCCTTTTGCGAATAAAATAATTTTGATTTACAAAATATTATCCCACCTGAACAGCTGCCTATTTCCCTTGATGCTCTCCCTGGAGTTGTAGTTCCAAGTGGGCATTTCTTACAATCAATCTGTCCAAGTTCATCTTGATAAAAACCATAGTCGCATTTTCTACACTCTCCATTGCTGTAAAAACTTCCCACTCCACATGGTACTACAGTTGGGGAATATGAAATATAGAAAGATCACTCAATATTTAGCTTTTTTTCCAATTGCACTGTTCAAAATCATTAAGGTTTGTTGGACAGTATATTTAACGTAGTGTTTTTGTACATAATAGGCACAAACTGCTGTGTTTAATGTACGTTTAAACTTCTGCAGTATTTTTGTACATTTTACCTGTGTTACAGTTAACTTACCGCAGTTTACTCCAGAGCTGATGTATCCCACATCACACTTAATTTCCCCCCTTGCAGATGTCTGATTTAGATTTATCATGTAAATTTCGGCGCTTATGTTAAGAGCAAGTCTTTCTATTGATGACAATTCTTTGAAACTTGCAATCGCATTAACAATTTCTCTGGCACACAATTCTGAGCTATCTGATAAAAGAAGAGTAAAAGCAGATTTATGTAATTTTTGTGTATTTTTATCGATATTTAATTTTCCAAACATATTTAATATGAGTTTTCATTGACAAATTTTGACATACGGTCTATTGAGGAGCAGGTGAACTGGATTTTAAACCCAGCGGTCATTGGGTTCTCTGCCACTTCTCTTTTCTTCCTTTTAACACCCCTTTCGCAGTTTAAGACTATGACGTCACTAATTATAAGCTTGCATATCTTATTCTCTCCGCAGGAAAGGTCTCTTAGAAAGACACTGACAACCTTTCTAATTTCAGTGCTGATATGCAGATGGTTATTGTTGTCACATATAAGGTTTTCATAATATGCGATAAAATTAGCTGTTAATTCTTTACTTTCCTTCGTCGCTGTAAAATATAACATGCTTTATATATTTATCTAGCATCCTTATAAAAATTCCAAAAAGTATATATAATTCATAATTATTTGTGATTGTCTTTAATTTTTCATTTGATTAATAATTTATTAAATATTTTATGGAGTTTCATCTTTTTAAAAATTCATTGTCAGACTTTATGGGGAAAAAACAATTAAACTACAATCAATGTTGTTTTTTTTTTTTTACAAACTATTAGCAAAAGCTGCCTTAAAAATTCATATATATAATTAAGTGATAAAAGGATTTAAAGATTCATAAAAAAATAAATTGTAGGTAAAATTTAAAAATATACTAAAAATCTTTAAATCAGATAATATATATTGCCTCACAATCTTCATCATTTCATCCTCTTTACACTTACGGTTACATGTTGGAAGATAACCGTTCGGATTATAAGTTTCTTCTCTGGCTCAGTGGTTCTTGAAAGTTTTCCCATATATTTCAAAAAATTGATTCCCCAGTTGTGGCCCCGCCCTACCCCTGCTCGGTCCACACTACCCAAGGATAAAACGGCTTAACACCCTCATCAAAAGCGTATCCCCGATTACAGCTGATGGTACAGTTAAATCCTGTGTCGGGTGTTCCACTACAGTTCAAGGAACCGTTCACAGGTGCTTCCAGAATTGTGCATACTGAAAAGAAACGTTCATCAGCTCTCATAACTCATATAATATGCTTCTTCAAGTGCATTTTGAATCTTTTAGACCAAGAGTTTTGTTTTGTATTATGTTAAAAACAAACATTTCAAATCACTTTCGTCTTCCGAAATCCATTCTTCTTGTTTTAAAGGACAACTTTTGATTTTTTAGCGAAACTGCGGTACATGAGGCAAAAAACATCCGACTAAAAATTTTAGTATGTGTAAACTTTTAATCTTAAACAAAAACGAAACGAATAATATTAAGGTCAGAAACCATGACGTCATAATGAATTTGTTATATCAAAATAACATTATTAAAAAATTATCCACTTTTAAATTAAAACAAAAACAAAAGAAGTAATATACAACCTTTCGTCATAACGAAATCAGTTCATACTCTCCAAAATGATGTTCAATTGATTTAAAAAAAATCTTTCATAAGCCAATATAAAGATAACTATAAATCATGTAGTTATAAATCACCTGGACACGTTTGAACAAAACATTCTGTAACTTCAGTATCGTTGCCTGCACACAGTTTTCCTCCGTTATATGGGGCTGGGTTAGTACAGTACCTCTGGCGACTTTTTGTTCCACTACCACACGTTTCAGAACACTGCGACCACTCACCCCAGATACTCCAGTTACCATTTACTATAAAAAGAAATCCCAAATGTCGAACTCTTATAGCAACAAAAAATACAGAATTTATCTTTTCTTAAAATTGCTACGATAATTTAAAAGATAAAACTCACAAAAAAGTGATTCACAAAATCTTCCTTTATAGTTCGGTGGACACGTGCACGTGTATCCATTGATGCCGTCTACGCAGGTGCTGTTATTCTGACAGATGTTGGTCAGACACTCGTCTATATTCTCCTCACACCGCTCCCCTCTGAATCCCGGGCTACACTCACAGGTAAACCCACCAAGTTCGTTAATGCACGTGTTGTTACCACATGGATGATCATCACACTCATTTATATCTATGGATAAACTACGACAGTTAAGCTTATGTTATAATCTTTGTTCAACTTTTACTAATCAATTATGACATTTCGGCTTCACTAACCGTCACATAGGCTTGGTATCTGTATTGTACTCTCCTCTAGGTAGGCAAGTTTCCAATCCTTCCAGGACAACACGTCTCCTTCGTCACTTATGATACAACGATTGAGTTGGTTATCTACCTCTTCTTTAGTGTGGTTTGAGGACCAAATGTTTAGCTGAGATACAGTAAGTGGACCTATAATATATATTTGGACTTTTTTATTGATGAAGATTTAGTTTTGTTTGACTATATGTTGTTTACGTTATATCGTATTTCAAACGAAAGTTAACACAAAAATCAATCTACCTGTTAACTTTAAAGTAAATGAAGAATTTTCATAAATGGAGGAGTCATTGAACATCTCTATCTGTATTGGGAACACAATGAAGTTCCATTTTCCGGCATCAATTGTAATGGATGAATTGTCAACTAGCTCACTGTAAAAATAAGATGAATTTATCTGAATTAAACTGAATCATTCAGTTTTTTTTTCCAGTTCAAGTTTCCAATGTTTATATTTTACTCACTTTGTTTTAGGCTCTATCAATATTTCTTCAGACCAGAGATCTCCATTCTGAAAGAACAGTGACGGAGTTGATATCTTGTTAAAGCCAACAGGAAATCGGAGCCAGGCACTGAGAATGACTGCTTCTTCTACACGAGTCAGTTTTATATCGACAATAGCTTTTGATTCGGAGGAGCTGAGGAGAATATCGAAATCTACAGTAGAAGGCAAATTATTTTAAGTTTTTGTTGTGCGGTGGATATCCATCTTCAAAACTAAAATTAATTGATAATAAACGTTACTTTTAAAATTAATTACAATAAAATTATTTCCTGATTATTTATTTTATTTTAATGTCCGAAGCAAACCCATCTTTCATAATATTTTTGTTGCAATTTACTATCTTTTAAATATGTAAAATAATATCTGATATTTACTGCATTTAGAAGCAAAAATAGGACTATACACTTAGAACAACATTCTTTATTTTGAACAGGAAAACAAGAAAACATATATAATTCCGTCAGACTTACAGGTACAATCAGTAGCTTCACTGCTACCTTGGACCAGTGTTGTTTGTGATCGGGGACAGGAGGTACAAACAGAGGTACCATATTCTTCTGCATAGGACCCCAGTGGACAAGGGGAGCATGGCATCACCCCAGTCACAGACCAGTATCCTGGGGGACATGCCTCTGCAGAATATCAAAAAGGACAGAAACTTCATATTAACTAAACTATTGGTCAATTACAAGAATATGTATGTATATCATAAATATTCATGTTTATTTTTTTTTTCTACCTAAGCATTCGTCTTTGGATTTGGCTCCAACCTGTTTGGTGGTGGTTCCCTCCGGACACGGATCACACAAGGGTTGTCCCGGTGATGACTGGTAGTGACCCTTACTACACTGCAGACAGGTCTTGATGGATGCGTTATAGTGGGTACCTGCTGAACATTCCACTGGAGAGAATACAAATTACAGATTAAAGTATGAAACATATGGAGATAACGAACAGTATTCGAGATCAAAAGTCCATAGACAATACACAATAGGAGCGGAGCAAACACAGACCACCAAATCACAGAGGTGGGACCAGACGCCATGGAGGAGTGAGCATCCCCTGCTGATCGGTCACACCCACCGTGTGCTAATCATGATCGGGAAATAACGGAAAAATCCACGTCAATTCAGTGTACTAACAATTAGTACGAAAAACATATCAGCATTTGACATATGATACATTGTAATTACTGACAAGGTCATTGTTTCGAACATAGAACTTATGAAATGATGACTTTAAACGTGACTGCTGATATTCCATCAATTTGTTTGTCAATAATTATCCTCCTTTTAAAAACTGTATATACATAAAGCATGATCTTGGGTATCGAATCAACTGATAGATTTGAACCCCGTATGCAGGAGATGAAGGTACATTACTGCATAAGTAAGGGAAGTTGATGAATAAAAAGTTAAAGTTGTCATGTTTTTTCATACAGTATTCATTTTAAACCTTAATGTTTGTTTATGAAACATGAAAAAACCAAGAAAAAATATGACTTCAAGTGATCATAGAAACTTATTCCAAATTAACGATCAACTTAAAACAGATAAATATAAAAATATCAGTCTACAATTGTTTAAATCTTGATCCAAAGTATAAAACAATTCTCTTTGATATATAATATCTTTAGTTCAGGAAATAAAATATTACAAAGTGTGTATTCTCACAACATGAAATAGCTGTGTCCGAGGGGAAGGTGTTTTCTGGACACTCGTATGTAACCTTTGCTACTGAAAGATCGTTGGATGTTAAAGTTACGTTATTCTCTAAGGTTATCACGAGACTTCCGTTTACACTCTTGTTTTTTAAGGTATCCATCATATTACTCTGAATGTTTATGAAATCTGGTGTTGATTCAGATTCATCAGATTCTATGATAAAGTCAGCAATAATTTTCATATCTGCTGATCTTTTCCTGCTTGTAGCACCGCATTCGATCTGTCAAAATGGGATAATTAGTTACTATGTTTAAGTGTTCATAAGACATAACTGTAAAATTACTATACATTTTAGAATTATACAGTAACATGTGAGAATAAGCTTATGCTTAGGCAATAAAAAATTACATAAAATCATAATTACCGTGACACTTGCTAGATTACACAGACTATTGTATTGCAGGCAAACGTCAGTGAAATTAGAAGAAGACAAGGAATCGATGTAATTTTTTCGAATAGTATCCTGCACTACTGAATCCATGCAATTTCCGTCGTAATAAAATGATGCATACATTTTAAATTTAGCAGATGTTACATTGAGTGTCTCTGTAAATTTGAAATATAAAAAGAATTATCAGAATGAAAATAATATTTTAAATCCTAGAGCTAACCAACAAAAGGCCTAGATCATAGAACATTGTAATATATATAATATTATAGTAAATGATTTTAAATTCACACTAAGCTTTAGATGCAGCTAACAAACCCAAATAATCTAGTAAATCATTTGTAACTAACATATATTCACCCTTTTTATGTGTTGTTGTTTAACGTCATTCTTGAGAATTTTCCACTCATAAAGAGGCCTTTGTTTATTGTTTTGAATAAAAAGTGAAATTCAAGTTTTGTTTCTGATAATTAAAAACTTACTTGAACAATCTGGAATAGGGAGGGCGTTGTTTGGTACCCATAGTCCACGGTCCTTTCCACTGTCTCCGCAAACCAACATCTCATAAAAAGGATATCCAGGCTTAAAGTCATACCCCTTCTGACACTGAACCTGGCAAAACTTTCCTTTCAACCACGAATCACAAACAACAGCTCCATTCTTTGGTGGAGAAGGACTAACAGCACAACTTCTGTGAACTAAGAAAAGGCAAAATGTTTGAGCATCATTCACCACTGCAATGGATTCTTAGAAGGATAAGACCCACAGGTCACACCGCTCACCTAAGTAACTTTGGTCATGCTGGTTTTAAACATATTTCCACCCCATATGATTCCTATTATAGCGACGCGGGTTATGAATTGAAAATTTTAAAATTTACACTACCTCAGAATGCTTCCATATAGGTTACTTATATTTTTCAGTTTTCTTCATTACCTCCCAATGACCCTTCATTTTATTGATTGATTAAATTCCTCTCTATCTAAAGTTGCTTTAATTTGAACAAAGGTTGGATAAAATTTGCTAAAAGGTTCGTAGGAAAAATAAATAATGGGAAAAATTTATGCAAATGGAGACGCGGAAGACGGACAAAAAATGATAAGAAAAGCCCCCTTTAAATTTCAGTTCAAGTTAGCTAAAAGAATTGAAGGTAGGAAAAAATTATCTCGGAAAATTAACCATCTTAGACAATTTTATTTTTTGAGAAGTGGTGTGAATCAGATGTGGATACTCAAGAATTCCAAAGAACTTTTGGATAATAAGAAATCACAAGATTTTGCGAAAATCAACAGCTTAAAAACTTTTCGACTTTATATGCAACCATTCCACACGATAAATTAAATTCTAGGCTTTTTGAAATCATTGACAGCTGCTTTTCCAATAAAAATGGAAATTGTAAATTTTACAACCTGGTCATTGGTCATTTGCAAAATTATTTTCTTAAAACATATTCTTATTACACACACAAGTACTCTCAAGTTGACATCAAGAAGATGCTTGAATTTTTGATTGACAATATCTATGTGGTTTTTAGAGACCAGGTATTCCAACATTCTATTGGAATTCTGATGGGTACCAACTGCGCTCCATTATTAGCAGACCCATTTTTATATTCATGAAGCAGAATTTGTGCAAAATTTTATGCGTGAAAAGGAGAAAGCAAACGATGTACCTTCAACTCGACATTTAGACATATAGACGACGTATTGTCAATTAACAAAGGTAAAATTTCCATTCCTACGTCGATACGATGTATCCTGGTGAGCTTGAGATAAAAGATATCACAGAGTCTGACACATCTGTTTCACACTTGGATATTTTACTTGAAAAAGACGTTAATGGTAATCTAACAACCAAGCTACATGATAAACGTGATGACTTTAACTTTTCTTTTGTCAACTTCCCTTACTTATGCAGCAATATACCTTCACCACCTGCATACGGAGTGTATATATGTCAGCTGATTCGATACGAGCAATTGACAATTGACAAGCAAGTTGATGAAACAAGAATATCAGCAGTCTCGTTTAAAGTCATCATTCCGTAAGTTCTATGGTCGATACAATGGCCTTGTCAGCAAATACAATTTATTATTGAGTCAAATGCTGACTGCCGTTTTTCAAACTAATTTTTAGTCCATGATTTATACACTGAATTGACGACGATTTTTTACCGGTAATTCCTGATCATGACAAGGAGCACACAGTGGGTGTGACAGGTAGGCAGGGAATGCTCACTCCTCCCTGGCAACTGATCCAACCACTGATGTTTCGGAGGTCCGCGTTTGCTCTGCTCTTATTTTGTATTATTTTATGGACTTTGATATTGAATACTTATCTCCATATTCTTCCATGAAGGTAACGAACAGTTAACAAGTTTTAAAGTCCATTGTAACTATACAAATAAGGAGCAGAGCAAATACAGATCTCTAAAATCATCAGAGTTGGGATCACCTGTCTTGGAGGAATAGCCTTCCTTGCAGACCAGGCATACTCACCCGGAGCCCCTTGTCATGATCGGATGGACGGGAAAATTCTTGGACAGTTTGGTGGAAAATAATGGCAGAACAATTGATATGAAAAACATTTGACTTAACAATTATAATTTGTATTTGGCGACGTCATGATATTTTGAAATGTTAATTTCAAGCAGCAATATTAAGTTTCTCGTTTTTTTTCAACTTGTTTGTAAAAAGCTTGTCTCGTTTTAAAAACTGAGCATGCTTTTACATATCGATTTAACTAGGAGACAAAAGCTCCAAATGTAGGTAAATAATGGTATATTTAAAAAACAAGAGGCCCATGGGCCACATCGGTCACCTGAGAAGCTTTGACCATTCTGTTCTTTACCAGATTTCCCCCTTGTTATACATAATGCATACCCACCCTACCCCACTGATCATAATTTAGACATTTTGAAATCTACACTACCCCATGATCCTTCCATGGGCACATATGTTTCAGCTTTTTTGGCCCAGTGGTTCCCGAGAAGAAGATTTTCAAAGATTTTTCCTATATATTTCTATGTAAAACTTTCATTTCCTATAATGGCCCCGCCCTTGATTCCTACAATTTAGAATTTACACTACCCCAGAATGCTTCCACATAAGCTTCACTTTTTCTGGCCCAGTGGTTCTTGAGAAGAAGATTTTCAAAGATTTTTCCTATATATTTCTATATAAAATATAAAACTTTGATTCCCCATTGTGGCCCCGCCCTTCCCCCGGGGGTCATTATTTGAACAATTTAGAATCTACATTATACCAGGATGCTTCCACATAAATTTCAGCTTTTTTGGCCCAATGGTTCCCGAGAAGAAGATTTTCAAAGATTTTTCCTATATATTTCTATGTAAAACTTTGATTCCCTATAATTCCCCCGCCCTTCCCCCGGGGGTCATGATTCCTACAATTTAGAATTTACACTACCCCAGAATGCTTCCACCTAAGCTTCACTTTTTCTGGCCCAGTGGTTCTTGAGAAGAAGATTTTCAAAGATTTTTCCTATATATTTCTATATAAAACTTTGATTCCCCATTGTGGCCCCGCCCTTCCCCCGGGGGTCATTATTTGAACAATTTAGAATCTACATTATGCCAGGATGCTTCCACATAAGTTTCAGCTTTTTTGGCCCAGTGGTTCCTGAGAAGAAGATTTTCAAAGATTTTTCCTATATATTTCTATATAAAACTTTGATTCCCCATTGTGGCCCCGCCCTTCCCCCGGGGGTCATTATTTGAACAATTTAGAATCTACATTATACCAGGATGCTTCCACATAAGTTTCAGCTTTTCTGGCCCAGTGGTTCTTGAGAAGAAGATTTTTAAAGATTTTTCCTATATATTTCTATATAAAACTTTGATTCCCCATTGTGGCCCCGCCCTTCCCCCGGGGGTCATTATTTGAACAATTTAGAATCTACATTATATCAGGATGCTTCCACATAAGTTTCAGCTTTTCTGGCCCAGTGGTTCTTGAGTAGAAGATTTTCAAAGATTTTTCCTATATATTTCTATATAAAACTTTGATTCCCCATTGTGGCCCCGCCCTTCCCCCGGGGGTCATTATTTGAACAATTTAGAATCTACATTATACCAGGATGCTTCCACATAAGTTTCAGCTTTTCTGGCCCAGTGGTTCTTGAGAAGAAGATTTTCAAAGTTTTTTCCTATATATTTCTATATAAAACTTTGATTCCCCATTGTGGCCCCGCCCTTCTCCCGGGGGTCATGATTTGAACAATTTAGAATCTACACTACCCCAGGATGCTTCCATATAAGTTTCAGCTTTACTGGCCCAGTGGTTCTTGAGAAGAAGATTTTTTAATGACCCAACCCTATTTTTGTCTTTTCTTAATTATCTCCCCTTGCGAGGGGATATGTCCCTTCATTTTAACAATTTAAATTCCCCTTCACCCAAGGATGCTTTGTACTAAGTTTGGTCAAAATTGGCCCAGTGGTTCTTGAGAAGAAGTCGAAAATGTGAAAAGTTTACAGACGGACAGACAAACAGACGGACAGACAGACGGACGAACACACATTTGGTTATATATTGGGTACATCAAGTCCAAGTCCTATTGGATACTGCTTATTGGATACAAAAAAAGTGTACACACGAGAGAGCATTATTTGGGTAGTTACTGTTCAAATCTTATTGGATATTAATCCTCGTGTCCGTATTTTATTGGGTTTTTCTTATTGTTTTTTATTCATTTCAAATTTATTATATATTTAATATTTGCTGGAAAATTCAGACAAGACTGAAAACCTTTGGTTTTGAACCCATATTTTTGTCAATTTCTGTGATATAGCTCTTTTATTTTAACACCTAACTAATTCGTTCTTAGCAATAAGGATATACACCTGCATATTTAAAAATAACTAATATTAAAATATATGAATACCTAAGTGCAAAAAAACTGAATTGTGAAAACACAACTCAACACATCTCAGACTCTGTTCAACCTTTCTTGAATAACAAAATTAAGTATTTAAGGAGAAACCTTTTTGAGTCATGACCAATAAGCAAATGCCCTTTTACATGTTGGACAGAATGAAGGTATCCAACAGGCATTGGACAGGTGTCCAATACCTGTTGGGTTGTATTTTGACGAGAGATTAAACTACCCAAGAACAATTGAACATGTGTACATTGTCCAATTCTATTTGGGTTTCTTGAATCTCCTCATCAAAATAAAACCCAACAGGTAATGGACACCTGTCCAACTCCTCTTGGATATCTACATCCCACCCAACAGGAAAAGGACACTTGTCCAATTCTCTTCTTGGGTTTCTTGAAATGTTTCATCAGAATACTACCCATCAGGTAATGGACATCTGTCCAACTCTTCTTGGATATCTACATCCCACCCAACAGGCAAATGACACTTGTCTAATTCTTGGGTTTCTTGAATCTCCTCATAAAATACAACCCAAGAGGTAATGGACACCTGTCCAACTTCTCTTGGATATTTACATCCCACCCAACAGGTAATGGACACTTGTCCAATTCTTCTTGGGTTTCTTGAATTGTTTCATCAGAATACCACCCAACAGGTAATGGACATCTGTCCAACTCCTCTTGGATATCTACATCCCACCCAACAGGCAATGGACACTTGTCTAATTCTTGGGTTTCTTGAATTGCATCATCAAAATACAACCCAACAGGTAATGGACACCTGTCCAACTCCTCTTGGAT